GTTTCCCAAGCCCGAGTAGTAATGGCCTCGTTTAGTTTATCAATCTGAAGCCTAAGCTGTCTAGTCTCAACTTCGGCCTCCTAGCAACCTACCACCTCCCGGCCAAGGTCGAGCGAAGTCTGTTTGGATTTGGCCTCCCAGCTCACGGCAGCTTTCTAAGCCGATGATAGCTTAAAGTTCAGTTTGTTGTTGCCACCTTGTTGCTGCGCCAAAGTCTCCGCGACCTCTGCTGTCTTAGCCTCAGCCTTGGCTCGAGCAGCCTCACTCGCTTTAAGCTTGTCAAGGAATTCTCTTTCCTTGACCTGGAAGGTTGCGACTTCCCTCTAAGCCGCTGGAGCTCAGCAAGCCTGGCCTTTTTCTCTCTCTCTCTGCAAGCTCGGCTCTAGCCATAGCATCTGCCTTCACCATCTCCATAGCCTACTAATTTTGATGGTTCACCTCTAAAGTGTCGTTGCATTCCTCGAACAGGAGTCTTCTCGCCATGGAAACCTAAAAAAAGGAGACGAGGAGTCAGCAAGAAGCAAGAATAACCTGCAAAAGAAAATGAGGCATGAACTACCAATACCTTTGCCGCATAGCTACAGGTTAAAGCCAACATCTAGGAGGGAGATGAGTCCTTGACGGCCACAAATGTGCGTGGGGTGACAAAATCCCTCGCTTTAAGCTTGTCAAGGAATTCTCTTTCCCTAACTTGGAAAGTCGCGGCTTCCCCTCTAAACCGCTCAAGCTCAACAAGCCTGGCCTCTTTCTCCTTCTCTGCAAGCTCGGCCCTAGCCATAACATCTTCCTTCACTATCTCCGCAACGTGCTAATTTTGATGCTTCGCCTCTAAAGTGTCATTGCATTCCTCGTGCAAGAGTCTGCTCGTCATGGCAACCTGAAAAGAGGAGACGAGAAGTCAGCAAGAAGTAAGAATAACTTACAAAAGAAAAGGAGGTGCGAACTACTGATACCTTCACCGCGTAGCTACAGGTTAAAGCCAACATCTAGGAGGGAGATGAGTCCTTAACGACCACAAATGTTTGTGGGGTTACAAAATCCCTGGCCACTGTGGCCGCAACACCAATATGGTTAGGAAGTTGGTCAATCAGCCCATCGACCACAGCTTTTACCGCTTCGTCTGTTTTCTTATTCTTTTGTTGGGACGAGCCAAGTTTGCTCCCCCTATAAGCACTTGCCTCACTAGTAGGGGCAGATTTCTTCTTGGTCAAGTCTTTAGCTGCTTCTTTTCGAAGGTTGCTAGCTTGCGTGGCGACCTCTTTGCCCGAGCCTATTTGTTGCTTGGGTGCTTTATTTTTTTCCAAACCTCTAGTTGGTTCTAACGCTTTCTTTGCTGGCCTTTTTTGGGGCTCCATAATGCTTTTCCTACCAAGTTTCTTAGTGGCAATTGCATGCTTCTTCACGCTTGGGCCTCCCCCAAGCTCGCCATTGCCACACTTTGAGCTAGCAATTTTCACGGGCTACTTTGGCCTGAAGCAGCCAGAGCCTTCATAACGTCTGTGAAGGCAACCGTTTTCTTCTTTTTTGGCTTTTCGACCCACATTTATGCAAGAAAAAAGGCAAGAGAATTAGCAATCTATTTTGCGCAGGAAAACAAGCGCAAACAAGCAACAACTTAACGTTTCTCCAAAAGTGCTAAGAAATTAGCCTCGTCTCGATAGAAGTCGTACGCTTTCAGGTGAGGAAGCATAAGAAGCTCATTGACGTTGCGTTGATTGTCTAAAAGATCGCTAAAATGCTACAGCCTCTGTAAGCTCGCGGCTGAAAGATAACTTTGCTCGATGTTAACTGCAAAAATGAAATAGGACAATTAGTTAGAATGTACAGCTCAAGATCAATCCTCGCACATACAGGGGAAGCCCAAGCCTTACTCGCTTCCATAGTGAAGACATCGGTCTCATGGGCTTCGTAGAAAAAGAACTGTGAATCTCAATGTGGAACTTTCTTCGGGACGTCGATCAACCCATTAAAATGTACTCTCCTCGCTTTGGAAAGGTAATACGTCTGGTCTAACTCTTTTTTGAGCATGTACAAGTGGATGAGTTCTTTGGTGGATGGCTCACCCAATTCACCAATCATGTACGCGATGTACATCATGATAATGATCACGTAAAAATTGGTCGTCTATTGAAGAGGAACAATATCGAACCACCTCAATATGTTATTGATGAAATTGTGCCGGGCATGGATACCTTGCACCTAAGGAGAGTCTTAGAGGTTGCTACCCATCCATGTGGGTGGTTCTTCCAAGAACATTCTCCTAGAACCATCAAATTAAACTGCGGTGTATAGGCCGCTCTTATGCGTTCGAAATCCTCGAGGATAATCGAGGATTGTGGTTCTCTTCGTAGCCTATGGGCTAGAGACGGCGGAGATTGGGCTAGCTGAATTGAAGCACGATCGGACAAGCCCGCAGCGTCGGGGTTCAAGCTTCGAGCGACGAATTCTTCAGAGACCTTAGGGGACACATCCCCAAGGGCTGTCGCACCTACCAACGAATCGAACATTCGGTCTATGGTACGACTACTGAAGGAAGACATGGTTGTAGCTCGCTTCTGGGTACCTGAAAAAAAGAAGCAAACATATATTAGAGCTCAAACAAATCAACGACCATTCCACACTGGCTTTTATTTCAGACAGTTAAGATAGCTTGTGCAATATGATGAAGGTACACGACCCACCCATGATACTGATGGCCACCATGTTAAAACCCTTTAAAACTTGAGACCGCCAGAAACACAATTAAAAACCCTACTAAAACCTTAAGACATTCAATGTGGCCACTATAGCAGCCACCCTATGACGCGAAAATCAAGAAAACAGAAGAAGATAGGGGAAAGAGCCTTACCGAAATAAGGAAAGTATTGGAAACTCATGAGAAAGACCACCGCAATGATGTAAGAACAACGACAAAGGAGAACCAGAGTCAGAGTAACTTTCAAAGTGACTATTCTAAGATTTTTCGCCACCTTTTATAGTGGTTAGCATGCAAGATGAAAGGACGGAGTTTAATCATGGCCGTCGACTTACAGTCGATCTTACCCTTTCATTCATCGAGCAATCTCAGCCCATGGACATGGCCACGTGTCAACCATCTGCGAGGAGCGACGAACCGTCAGATTGCTATATTAATAACCATCGTCGCACGTCGCCTTGACTTTGCGCATGAACAACTGTCGTTGCCCATGTGCGACGAAATATAACTGATAAAGGCTATCGCATTTAATGCAGGACGACCACGCAGAAATTACCTTTATACCTTGACTGTTCATATTTTGAGTTTTAACAGGTACCGTGAGGAATAAAGATCCAAGTGTTAGGTACATCGGCCAAGCATAGGGTCGATCATGGGGGCCTAGTCGAGCATCAAACACTAAAGGGTAGATGTTGTGTGTGATTTTTCCGCCAAGCTCAGGCCAACTCAAGGATATAATGCGACCTCGACAACTATAATTGATTAACGCAGCATAAGCTCGTTGAGATATAATTCGATCCAACATAAGCTAGTCGCGAACAATTTAAGGAATCATTCAATCAATATCCAAATTACTTCAGATCCCAGATATTATGGGAATGACATGATCAATAGTGATCACTGCACAATCATAGTGTCCAATCGCGAGAATATCTGAATTGTGATTCAGATCAATTGTAATCCCCTTAATTCTACTCTTTTCTTTGTACAAATCTTGTATAAAAACCCCCTCAAACGATGAGGAAAAGGTTATAATTTTTAGATAAGAATTGCATTGTAAGCTCTCACAGCAAATACAAAAACACATTGGACGTGGGCTGTTAACCTCGTCGAACCACTTTAAAAATCTCTTTGTTTTTAATTCATTTCATTCATATTCATTACTGATTTTCACTAATCACGCACACATCAGTTACAATCCTGGCAATGTCTATCGGATCACGCTAGTTGGTGCATAATTCTGTATCAACACTCTTTGACCGTCAAGCCACTCGTTTCAATATTGCTACTACCAACCCACTTCTTACCTCCCACTAACACAAATATCACAATCACAATACCTATTTCTGATCTTTCTCTGTTGGACAATTAACTTGACATTCAAGTTATATCAGCATTATGCAATCGGAGGCAGAGGCATGAAGAAACTGCCCATGAAAAGGTTTTATAGAAACTTGAAGCCAGGAGCATTGGCCCAACTTAGGGACACAAAGATAAGTGCAACTGCAAGGTCTCCAAAGAATGACTTGTTGATAATTATCATATCACCCCGAAAGCCACCATCATTGCCCAATGGAGACAATGTGGCAAGCCAAGTGGAGTGTATTCCATGTTTTGCTTTGAGAATCATCAAAGGCCCTCAGTGTCTCCTAAGTAAGAAACTCATGGCAGTTACACCTGTATTTTCTAAGAATTATTAGCCCTTATTGATATTGCTCGTGTCGAAATGCTAGATAGGAGTATGTTGCTTTGATACTTTTCATTTTTTTTTTTTTTTTTTTTTTTTTTTTTTTTTGCTTGTTGTTATCAGTTTATGCAACCATTAAATTACTTTTTAAGAACAAAGTGTTAAGATCCCACATCGGGATCTTACACCCACCAAGTGTAGTACTTAAGCCTAAGGGCTCTTCTAGAGCCTAACCCAAAAGACCGGCCTGATGAGTAAGAGAGCCTCTAGGCTTAAGTACCACACTTGGTGGATGTGAGATCCCGATGTAGAATCCTTACACAAAGTAACACTTGGTTAAGATTTTGCTCCATTAATAGAAGAGGTTAGGTTAAGAGAGTATAATAGATTAAGCTTTAAGAGATCGTGTGATGCGCGAGTTTCTTCATATTTCATGGATATCTAAAGCATACTAAACTTGTTTGCATTCTCACTTTTACTTGAAAGAATTTCCTCAAAGTTACTGAATATTATATTATTACAGCCTCCTGAACCTTGCAAAAGTTTGATCTAAGCAAAAGACAATTCTTTTTAGCTACTTTTGCTCATTGTAAATTGCTGAAATTGCACACAAGGATATAAATGAACAGGAATTAAAGAAGGTTAACCCTGTAGTGATATCTCCAAATTATACAAGTGGTATAAAACCAACATAAAAAATATAACATACAAAGAAAAGTCAGAAGCCCCTGTTCCAAGTTCATTGCAAGCTCTCATGGTGCACAAAGTTTATTCGCAGCTGAGAATTACAATGAAAAAGTGTAAACTCTGCATAAATTTTCTTAAACAAGCATATATTTGAATGAATAACGAAACCACGATGATGAAATTACCTACAAAGAACCACACAGGTGTTGGAAGTGAAGAAACTCCAAATTATAATTCACTAGACTAAAGCTTCTGCACCAGCAACAATTTCCAATATTTCTCCTGTAATCTTAGCCTGGCGCTTCCTGTTATACACCATAGATAAGTTCTTCTTCAAGTCCTTTGCATTATCAGTTGCATTGCTCATGGCACTCATTCTCGCAGCAAGTTCACTAGCTAATGACTCCTGCAAAGCCCTCAAAATCTGACTGTTTAAGTATAAAGGCAACAAAGCATCAAGAATCTGCACAGGGTCCTGCTCAAACTCCAAAATCGGAGAGAAAGACACAGTCTCAGTCCTCACAACATCTCTCTCAACAGTCAGTCTCCCTTCCTTTGTTGTCAATCTAAAGAACTCATCCTCGGCAGCATCAACGCATTGTCCATTAATATCACAAATCTCTCCCTTAGGTGATAATGGAAGCAAAGTGTGAATCACAGGATCAGACTTAACTAAAGACACAAACTTTGTATACAAAAGCTCAACTTTATCTACTTCTTCACTGACAAAGAGTGAGAACACATCATCTGCTATAGCTTGAGCTTCTTTTGCAGTAGGTAATGAACCTCCTTCAAGAAATTTATCAACAGGAATATAAGGCCTACGAAGAAAATATGAATTACCCTTCTTGCCAACGCTAATAACAGTGTACTCAAGGCCAAGATTCTTCAATTCAGCAATTCTTGCTTCAGCTTTCTTGATAAGATTATTGTTGAAGCCACCACAAAGACCACGATCACCAGTGACAACAACCAAGGCAACCTTTTTAACAGGCCTAACCTTGATTAGAGGAACATCTATGTCTTCGGTTTGGAGCTGTTCATTGATGTTATAAAGAACCTCAACAAGAGTTTCAGAAAACGGTCTACCATTAACAACAGCTTCTTGAGCTCTTCTGACTTTAGCCGCAGCAACAAGCTTCATGGCCTCAGTGATCTTCTGAGTATTCTTTACAGAATCAATACGCTCTCTAAGCTCACGGAGGCTACAGTGAACTGGGGCCACAGTTGAGGATCTTGAGGGGCTGTTGAGGGTTGAATTTTGTTGTGAAGGAAGCCTAAAAGGGTTGAGAGCTGAGCCAAAAGAGAGTGAAGAAGTGTCAGGAAGAGATGCTTTTGAGGATACCCACATTGTTAGATTTGAGCAAGCCATGAAGCTAATGGTGTCTCTTGAAGCTTAACAAGACTCAAGAACTCAAGGCAAAGAGAGAAGATTTGCTATGTGGGAATGGTTTGTTTTAGGTGTGTTTGTGTTTGCGCAGTCTTATCTTTTTCATATATGTTTCGTTGGTAAGGAGGTACCGAGAGGGAATGAGTGGAGAGAAAAGGAGGGAGTGGATATGGTTTCGAGATAAGGATTTTGACCGTTGGAGATTGCTTGGGTCATGAATTTGATTCATTTTCATAATAATTTTAACTTTTTTATTATTATTTTATGGTGGGGTCTATATGGTGTGGCATGATCTGAGTGGATCTAAGGTATATGCGGCCAACACAACTAAGATTCTTCCCTCATTTGTATATGGTGATTGGTGAAGGACAAGTGACTAAGATTGTAATTTTGTGGATTGTGGAGAGAAACATAACTCGATAAAAGAACTTTTAGAGCTCCGTACTCTTAAATGTATTATATAAGAAGTTTTGGCGGTCGAATCTTTATGATTATTAATAAGAGGTAGTCATTAAAAGTTTACCTGATCGTTAAAGAGCCCAAATAATGTTACGTGCATTAACCAAAAATCATACAACCCAAGTACTAACTAACGTGACAGACCTCTCTTATTACCACGTCAGTTCCCCCCCAAAACTATAAAAAAAAAAAATTCAAAATTTCAATTTTTAGTTCTTTGATTAATATAATTTGGTTAGTGCACATAAAATTACTCTAAAAAGCCCAAGAAGAATAGTGTAAGTACGCACAAACTAACCCACACACCCCAATATCATTAAAAAAAAAAAAAAAAAAAAAAAAAAAACACACAACCTGATACTTTATCCTTGTTAAAACAACTTGATAATTGATAGTTGTGTTTTGAGGTCATTGAATTTGGCCTATAAAAAAGATTGCTCATTTAACCTCTCTTATATCTTAATTTTCATTACTTGGATTCAGAAATATGAAATTCATTCAGTATATCTCCATCTCTTTGGACTTTAGCATCATTTCTGACTGTAAAACTGGAAACAGAATATGCTTATACAAAAGAAAATCATGAACAAATTGGAAAATTGAGGAAATGAAAGAGAAAATTGGAGGGCCACATAATCATACAGGCATTGGATTGTCAATTTAAGCTTTCAACATTAACAGGGAGGTGCAATTTGGCTTTATCTATTCAACATTAATAACTGGATGTCACTTATGGGTGTGGGTACCAGAAAAGCATTATAAAGCTATTGTCAAGCATTTAAATGACAGAAGTTTAAGAGAAAATATCAACATGGTTGCAGGATTAGTTGTAGCACTCACTGCCAAAGAGAAAAAATATCTAATAAGAAGATACAAAATAAATATCTACTCCCATAATTTCATGGACATGTCAAATTACCAAGTCTCCCATTGATATTTTCTGCTTGACATTAGAGCCTTTGTTCACCAAAATTTTGTTTGATACATCTAGTTTAAAAAATAATAATAATGAAAAAAAAAATTAGTTCCCTGTCCCTTGAAATATTAAGGATATACACAAAAATAATTATAGTGACCAGAGGGAACCATATACACACATCATGCACCCATTCTAACAACTAAACTTGATTTTCAGCATTTTTTTCTCCAATAAGTGGGCAAATAATGGCCTTGTATGTTTGAATATCAGAAATTACTCCCTTGAGAACCATGTAGTCATGCAATTCAATCACTTCTTCTGGACTGCAATTCTTACTAAAATTGGTAACAAGAGTTGTGTAAGTTATGAAATCGGGAATGATGCCGTGAAGAATCATCACCTTCATTACCTTTCTTGCCTGTTGATAACACCCAAACTTGCACAGATAGTTTATCAAGATATTGTAACTAACTCTATTCACCAGAATCCCGACATTTCTCATTTGTGGAATCAAAGAAAAAGCCTCATCAATCTTACCACAGCCAAAATATCCATTCATCAAAGTGTTATAGGTTACTGAATCAAGTAAACCCATCCTCTGTAACACATCTAACAAATTTTTTGCAACATCTACAGACGCCTCCTTGCATAAGCCATTTATAATGGAATTGTATATTACCAAGTTGGGTTTTTCCTCCATCTTAACCATATTTTCATAAACCTGCACAGCATTGTCTATGTTTCCTTCCTTACAGTAGCCATCAATCAGAGAACCATAGGTAACAATGTCAGGAATCAAACCATGAACAAACATATTACTCAATAGCTGCTTAGCTCCTGATAAGTTATTGCTATGGCAAAGATAATCGATGAGAATATTGTATGAAAATGCATCTCGTATAAGGTGTTTCTCAAGAACTTCTTTGTGAAACTTGAAAGCTTGTGCCATGTATCCATTTCTACAAAGCCCCTTTGTGAGAATGGAGTAGGTGAACTGATCAGGGCATATATTCTTATCAATCATGTCAGACAAAAGCAACGAAGCTCCCTCCATATCTCCTTCTGTGTAAAGCCAATGAATTATTGAATTGTAAATGATAGTATTAGGCATCAAGCCCCTCTCCACCATTTCATCACACAACCTAAGTGCCACATCCAGACTCCCTCCTCTAGCATATCCATCTATTAAAGTTGCATAGGTCCTTGTGTTACACTTGATACCGGCCTTAACCATATCATTGTGAACTTCTTCAGCAAATGCTATTTTTCCAATCTTGCAAAACCCATTGATGATACAATTGTAGGTCACTGAATTTGGAAAAACGCTGTCCCCTGACATTACTCTCATCTTCGCAACTAGCCTCAATGCTAATTCTAAGTCACCTATTCGGCAAGCTCCATCTATTATCATATTGAAAGAAACAACATTTGGGCAAATCCCACTTTTCAACATCCGGTAGTATACTGATATTGCTTCTACTAATTTGCTTTCCTTACAAAGGGCATAAATAACCAAGTTAAAAGTATTCACATTCACAACATATCCAAATGACACCATTTCCTTGTACAATTTCCAAAACCTACTGATATCATTTAATTTCACAAGATGACTCAAAAAATTATTCCAAGCATGAATCGAAACCCAAAAATCCTCCACTCTCGAATTCTGAATCACTAGATAAGCACCCTCAGTAGCTCCAACTTGAGTACAAGCCCTCACCAATGCATCAAACACAGCAGGAGTTGACTCACACATTTCATAACTATCAACCAAACCTTTGAAAACCTCCAGTGGAGGCACACCATCTCCACAAATTAACTTGCCCATTATTGACAATGCATCATCAAATCTCTTTGAATTCACCAACACATGAACTATGACACAACAAGATTCTAAAGAGTGTGAAATGCTCTTGTTCTCTCCAACCCAATTGTAAAACTCCAAAGCCAAGGTTGGTGATGTTCGAAACTCGCAAACAACACGGCTTACTAACGAACTTGTTAGACTTGGAGCCATTTGATTTAACACTTTCCATTTCCTCTGTCTTAAATTAATACAAAGTGCCCTAAAAATAATTTCTTCTGCACTTGGGTTGGCAAATTGCTTACCCAAGTGAAAAGCTCGGCACAAAAGACTAGTTCTTTTGTGTAAATAGAAGGTTAAAAACATAGAATAACCAAAACCCAATTCATAAAAGGAATAGTTTCTCCAATAAAGAATCAAAAGAGAGTAAACCCAGTTCAGTATAAGCATAGAGATGCTAAAACCAAGATGGGTTTGCCTAAGAACACTAAAACCCTAGTCAGACAAAATTTTGGAGCTAAAGAGGAAGTGGAAATTAGTGGTAAAAAATAATAGAGAAGTGGTGAGACCGGAAAAGGTTACCTTTAAGCTTCTTTCCTGCAAGAAGAAGAGACGAAGGATAAAAATAGCTGCTTGATTTTGCAGTGAATAAAGGAAAAACGTTTTTGAGTTCTGTAAAAAGAGTTGCCAAAAACAAGTTTAATATCTAAAGTCTTAGCTCCCTGCTTGCTTCTTTTCTTTCTTGATCATAGAGGAGGGAGAAATTAAGTTTATATTTTATTGGGGGTGTTTTTGTAAAGAAAAATTGTAGCATATACCAAAGAGATTTTCATCTGTATTTTTAGGGGCGAAAAAATATTTTTAAAATAATAATTGATTCTGTCATATTTCTTACCCTTAACATTTATGTGTCTAAAATCATATATATATATATATACAACGACTATTCTCTGTCATTAACTACCTTTGGATGATTGAGTGATTTGATGAAAACTCTTGAGTAATAAGTCTTGGATTCGAGTCTCTCATCGGGTGTTAATAGAGACAGCTACTAGAACTCTTATCCGGTCGATAATTTCAAGGTCCTAGATAGAGATGGGCACAGGCCAAGGTGAGCCTGGGGATCCATGTCTCCAGCCCCAGCCTGAAAGCCCAAAGAGATTCCCCTATCCCTGCCCGAAGTCGGTTTGGAGAATTCAGGAAATCCCAGAAAAAAGCCTGTTCCCCAAACAGGGAATTCGATCCTTATTAGTTTTATTATCCTTTTCTCCAAATTATATATTCCAACAAAAAAAAAATCTAAATATATAATATACATTTTAAACATAAAGACCACATCATCAAAAAAGAAATTAAATATATAATGTACATATTAAATATAAAAATCATTATACTAAATTGATGATATATTATACATATATATAAATTTATTATAATACATTATACATATGTATATAAATATATTATAAATTAACAGTATGATATTATGTATTATTGTATTAAGTAATGAGTATTAACATATATAATGTCTCTTTAATATATAATGTATTATATATGATACATTATACATATATGTTATAATAAATTTTAAATAAATAACTATCATATATATTATAATAAATAGCTATCGCAGTATAACAAATGCAATTAGGTAAAAGAATTGAAATAATGATTCAATGAGGGACAAAAAAAAATTATAATGATTTATTGATTCATTATAATCAATCAAAACAATAAATAATATATTACATATATATTATGTATTAACGTAAGATTATAGATAATAGCATATTATGTATAATATATAATGTCGAATGTATAACTTTTATTTCCAAATATTAAAATTATTATAGGTATATATGATTGATTTTCAAATATTAAAATTAATATAGGTATATATGATTGATTTTTAATTATTAAAATTAAAATTGATACATATATATATATACAGGCCAGGCTAGGGATTTCAGGGCCGGGGTGAGCCAGGGCAAAACCTATCCCTGCCCCAGCCCATCCCCGAATTCCAAGGCTAATCTTAGGCCCAATCTCCGCCCAAAGCCCGAATGATTCGGGGAAAATCCCCGCGGGGCCAAGCTTTGTACCCATCTCTAGTCCTAAAGAATTAGTTGTAATACACGTAAGCGGTAAGCTGACTCGAACACCCTCTGTAATAAAAAAATATATATTCTCCGTCATTTAACAAGTAGATATCATTATGATAAATGGATTTGATAATTAATATATTTTTTTTATTAAACAATCTTATAACGTCAACAAAATGAAATAATAAGAGTATCTTTTATAAATATTCTAATTGGATGGTGTAAGAGTTTATTTTTATTTTTGTAGGCTAGATGGCAAAACCGTAGACTACCAAAAGTCTTATATTTGAGTCCATGAGTCCTATTAGGTGGTTATGTATCATATTTATGACTTATCTAATTTATTGGATTTATAGGGTGTTCAATAGATTCAGAGAATTAATTCAGATACGTTTAAACTAACTTAAACACCCCGACCTCAATTACCAAAAAAAAAAAAAAAATTAATAATTTAGATGTTTATAAAGTCAATCAATATGTCACATATAAGTGATTAAAAGAAACGACATTCCTCCATTACTTAAAACAAGTATCCTGACTTATCCTATTCTTTTAGCCTTTATCAAATCGCAAATCATGGTAATTGAGATCCGCTAATTATAGATTAATCTTAATCATAGCAGACAAAGTCCCCACAAAGATAACGAATAAAGGTCCGTGGGGTCTGTCTGTTGATGGAAAATAACATATACGTCCCTGAAAGTTCCCTTAGTCTAAGAGATTAAAAAATAAATGCCATACTCCCTATCTAAGAGAGAGTCGATTATCGTGTTGTTTAAGTTGTTCAAATTTTATTCTTCTTAGTAAGATAAATGAAGGTTTTATGAAGATCTTTCAACTTAAAAGCAGTAATAGAAACTCTTTTTTTTTTTTTTTAGCAACCCTTAGAGTTTGGATTGTTCACCTATTAAAACAGTACGTGAGTTGGCTTTAGAATGACGTGAGATAGTTCAATCCATATTATATGTATGTGTTAAAGACTTAAAAGCATTGAAAAGATGTTTTCCTCGTACAAAAAAACCAGAACAAATGCACCTTTGGTGTAATAGTTATCGTGTCCACAGCTAGATAGCTAAGTGTAAAGTGGATAATTGTTAAAAGAATCTAAGTAAACCCTAAGGGGTTGACCTAAAAGTAAAAAAAGTTTGTTCTTTTTATTGACTTCTTAGGTTCGAACCTTGGAACCATCTACCATATTTATGACTTACCTTAAAACATTGAGCTTATAAGATGTTCAATGAACCTCAAAGATTAGTCAACGTACGTGGAAGTTGGTCCAAACACCCTAGTTCTAACTTCACTACAACATGCACTGGCACAACCAAGACAAAAATGGGCTCTTTGCACTTTTGGAATGGAGCGGCCAAGTTTTGTGAATTCAAAGGGTACTTATGATGAGAGTACACTTGACTGATAAAGATGACAATGTAAGTTTTATAATTATCTGGATGTAAGTGTCGTCGATCTATGAAACCTCGTGGATGAAAAATAATTTTCATGGTCTGTTGACTGAACCCAGTTGGATAATAGGTTATCTGAACTAATTAGACTGCAAACAGTTTATGGATAAAGAAGAAAAAATATATAAAAATGGAGAACATAGCCACCATGTCCATGCATGCTCAAGGAAATTTCATGTTAATGCTAGATGAACACAAAAAGCCAAGCCAACAAACTACGGAACCTCAACTAACTTGTCAAAGTAAAGAACTACCAGTCTTGTTTTCTCAACTACCATTGATAAATCACCGATAAGATTGGCCACAAATGGACCATTATCAATTAATTATTACATTATAAAACTATAATAACACTCAATTACCTCCCTCTATTAATATTAAAACCTGCTGTCTCTGCTGATCATGCTGAGCTTGACTTGTTGAATGTTGAAGCTTATTGTTTGCAGAAAAAAATGGGAGATTCGAAGCCTACTACTACAATAATATCTAATGACACTACCGGAGAAACTAATAAAGGTACGTACTTGACTTTGTTAATTATATAATTTTATTAAGTTTCTTCCCTCTCATTTTGATATTCATAACTGGGTTCTTCTGCGGCCAGAGGATCAGAAAATTGAGGATGGGAAGATGGAATTCTCTGAAGATGAAGAGTTGCTTATTGCCAGGATGTTTAAACTAGTTGGAGAAAGGTTAATTATATTTGTTTGAATTGAAAGCAAACCCTTTTCGCGATTTTGATGATGTGTTTATATATTGATCAGGTGGTCGTTGATTGCGGGAAGGATTCCGGGAAGAACAGCAGAAGAGATTGAGAAGTATTGGACTGAAAGATATAAATCATGAAGAAGATGATTTGATCATATCGATTACGGGAGGTGGAAAGGAGCCATGCATGAAGTGAAGATACATAGTTGATCAGTTTAATTGTTTGATAAATTTAATAATCTAAAGTTTGGTTATGGAGCTTTGTGATTAACTTATATTATTGTTTATTAAGATTATTGGTAATCAATTAATAATGGATTGTATGATATTAAAAGATCTATTGTCTTCTGTTTTTCTTTTTTTTTTCAATACCGGGGGTATCTGGGCAACTTACACGCACCAGTACAATCTGTCGAGGACATTGGAACTACAACCGGATTTTTTTTTCTTTTTTTTTTTTTTTTTTATGATCGGGAGTGTCGAGTTAGTTTACATGCACCTCAACTAACCTTGAGACATTAGAACTATCGGTCGGATAAGAATTCTGGTAGGACATTTATTAGCAAATAATCCCCGAGACCCTAGAATTATTGGCCGGATAAGAGCTCCAGTAACTACCCTTATTAGCAACTAATCCCCCGAAACCCTAAAACTACCGACCGGATAAGAGTTCTAGTGGTTACCCATTATTAGAACGAGTAGGGATTCGAAATCAGACCTTTGAATAATACACCAAAGAGTCCCTATCAAATCACTCCGCTACTCAGAGGTAGTTAATATATTTGTCGTAAATTTAGTTACAGTGATTAAATTTGAACTTAGACTATGCTTCTCTTATCTATTATTTGATCTTCTTTCAAATCATAGTTATCCTTTTCACGACATTCGCGTATAAATGATAAAGTAATACGGAAGTTGAACTTAAAATGATGAGTTGAAGGAAGACAAAGACACTAATTATGAGAAATTTGAAACTTTGGAGAAGAATTATGTTGTGGAATTGAACGATTATGGTTTGATTTGATCTAAGTTGTTGATCAAGAAACTTGCAACATATTGATGTGTAAGTTCAGAATCTGAATTCAATTTTGTTAACTTCACGGTCTTAGGAAGATTAATTGAGGTACATGCAAATTGATCGGATACTCTCGTTCACCAAAAAAAAAAAATTGATATACATATAATTTTTACTAGATTGCTTCCCTAGTTAATAAATCGGGTACGACAAAAAAAATGTATGGGTATGATATGGTAATGGTGAAAAATACATTTGGTAAAAATTCTGCTATAAAATTCAGATACGGGAATAATACAATATGGGTATGTATGAGTTTAATACGGCACATTATTAATAATATGTTTTAAAAAACATAGCACTATCAATCTTGGTTTTAGCACTTTTCATAGACCACCTAGTTAAAATTAATATATCATTTTAAATATAATTTATGGGTATGATACGATAAATAATGAAAAATACGTTTGTAAAAATTTGACAAAAATTTGGATACGAGAAAAATACAGAAATAATTCGTAAATAAAACGTTTAAGACATATAGTTCACGAATAATATGACTAAGCAAATAAAGTATAGAAATTCATGAATAATACATGAATTATATGGTTGAGCGGTATAATTCACATTTTATTTGCGAATTTACTATCTAGATTTGCTTCTCGCGGATTTTCAAAACCCTTTTGTGCAAAAAAGGGATACATATTTGAAATGGATTGATGACAAGTTATTATATTTGAAAAGGAATAACCATAATTTATGGGGGATTTTTAATAAAATAACCCATTACTGATGAATAATCATAATAAAAAAGAACCCTATCAAAATATGAATATTCCCAAACCCCTCGTATTTTGTAAAAGTTTCAAAGTAACCCCATCCTTCTTCCTCACCCAGCGGCCTCGTAAGGTAGCAGAGATTTAACGAGGGTTTTTCCATTTTTGCAAAAACGTAAGTTCGCAAGATAAACCAACGCAGTTTGTTCAGTGAACATCAAAACATGTCCTTCGACCAACGGAAAGCAGCCACGCTAGCATCACTCAACTCCTCCGTCACTGATAAATCACCGAAAGGAACGTTAGACACCCCCATCATCCCCCTCATCAACGCCCTCAACTCCCATCCCAATTACTTCACCACCAGCTCCTGCTCCGGCCGCATCTCGCTCTTCTCCCACCCCAAGAACCGCCCCAAGGGTGGCGCCTGGCTCTACATCACCCACGACCCAGCCGACGCTGAGTCCGTCGTCTCCCTCCTCTTCCCCACCGAGCCAACTCACCCCGCTGAGTCTTGTCCAACGCCGAACGATCTGGTGTTCCGGTTCGAACCGTTGATAGTGGCTGTTGAGTGCAGGGACGTCGAGTCAGCTCAGTCCTTGGTATCGATTGCGGTGTCTTGCGGGCTCAGAGAGTCCGGGGTAGCGAGTGTGAGTAAGCGAGTGATCGTCGGGATACGGTGCTCGATAAGGCTGGAGGTGCCATTTGGAGAGAATGGTGCCATTTTGGTGTCAAGAGAGTACGTGAGGTTTCTCGTGGGTGTGGCTAATGAGAAAATGGAGGCTAATAGGAGGAGGACTGAAGGGTTTTTACAAGCTTTGATGGGTTGTAATGGGTTGGGGCTCTCGGTTTCCACGAACGATGAGAATGGGAATCATGTGGATGAGGAGAAAGTAAAGGCTGATGATTCCCAGTTTGGTAATTACGTTTGTAATGTGGGCATTACTTGTGATTTTGATATTGATGGTTGTGAGCTAAATTGGTTTCATGGTTCATTGATTTGATAGCTTTATGTTGTTTATTTTTGTTATAATAAATGCTAGATGATAAGACAGTGTGTTAAGAGTTCAGTTTAGTATTTAGTGAAGATGATTTAATGAAGAATGTGTTAAGAGCTTCGGTTAAGCTATTGAAGAAACAAATCTTTGAAACATTAAGCAATGATTATGTTTCTTGCTTTCTTTGGAGAAAGGATGTTTTGGTTATGCTTGATTGTAATAGTCGAGTCTAGTTTTTATTTGTCTGCCTGGACATCTTTGTTGTGCTGTCATGTATTTGTCAATCAGGAAATATGATAAGGTTTATGTATATTTACTTGAGATATGGGTGCTTGGTTTTCTCTACAAAGTTCAATTTTCTGCTCTGGGCTGTGTGTGGAAACCTCTAGTAGTACTATTACATACTAATATGCATCTGATTGCAGGAAACGTTTCTATTTAATGTGACAGCGAGTTTGAGTCTTTGAATCATTGGCAGGGCCAGCGGGAGATTCTAGTTGCAGTCTGTCTGCTACTCAGATAATGATTTCTGGTGACCCTATAGAGAAGTCATACCTTTGGGGTCATTCAGCTTGCACATTGGGAACCACCAATTGCGATTACAAGATTCTTGTATTTGGTGGTTTTGGGGGTATGGGAAGACATGGACGCAGAAATGATACTTTACTGCTAGATCCATTACAAGGAACATTAAAAGTAATTCATGCTGAGAGCTTTCCATCTCCACGCTTGGGTCACACTTCTTCTTTGGTTGGAGATCGCATGTTTGTTATTGGAGGCCGGGATCATCCCTTGAACATCCTGAGTGATGTATGGGTTTTCAATATAAACAATAATGCATGGACATTGGTAGAATGTGCTGGTTGTGTTTTTCCTCCTAGGTAATATTTTGAGTGCATTTGCCACTATTATTTATTTTTTTTTTTTTTGGCATAAAGATGTATGCAATATGTATTATTTTAAGAGATTACCTTTCTTTCATCAGCACTACCACTGAAGGTTCAAACAATATACCAAATATCAATTTGAATATAGATTCATATTTCTTCTGACTTGAGCTTTCTAATCTTTGTACCAATGTCCATCATTCTTATATCTATTGTAGGTTTCTTAATTTCAATACATCCAGTGATTTCTACTTAAAAGCCCACGAGTTTTTCTCTTTTTAGTTCTTGATATATATGTAAATTATATGTATCCTATATAGGCATCGGCATGCTGCAGCAGTTGTAGGCTCAAAGATATATGTGTTCGGTGGTCTTAACAATGGTACAATCTTTTCATCTTTGCATGTGCTCGACTCAGATAATCTCCAATGGGAAGAATTATTGGTCAGTGGGGAATTGCCCTGTGCCCGACATTCTCATGCAATGGTGGCATATGGATCTAAGTTATACATGTTTGGAGGGTTCAATGGAGAGAAACCGCTTGGAGATTTTTACAGTTTTGATGTCCATACATGTTTATGGAAGAGGGAAGAGGTAGCAGGAAGAACTCCAAATGCTAGGTTCTCCCACTCAATGTTTCTCTACAAAAATTATCTTGGAGTGATTGGGGGTTGTCCAGTCGGACAACATTACCAAGATTTGGCATTACTTGATCTGCAGCTCCAAATGTGGAAACATGTGAAACTCGATTCCATGAGTAAAGAGTTGTTTGTCCGGTCTACTGCCAATGTGGTTGGTGATGATCTTATAATGATCGGTGGTGGTGCCGCTTGCTATGCTTTTGGATCAAAGTTTAGTGAGCCAATTAAAATCAACTTGCTCCCAGCCCCCATAGTGTCCTTTGATGATTATCACACACCTGCAGAGATTGGAGAAAAGCTTGTAATTCACCAGTGTGAAGGGGTAACAGAAGAAAAGAACATTGATGTTCAAGGTACAAAAACTGGGGATTTACAGATTTCAACTCCAAATTCTGACTTAAATTCTGAGGCCGAATCACATTCTGTGAACAGTGGACATCAGATGGTTGCTTCACACTGGGTTATGCAACTTGATAGAAAATATGCCAAGTTAGGGAAAGACATATTGAAAAAGTTTGGATGGTTAGACCTTGTAAGGAAGGCTTATCCACGGGAAGATGGAATACATATATGTTTCCCCGTGACACAAAAATTCTGCTCTATGTTCCATGAAAAGCAGCATTTTTTTGGAGCTGAATCTGAAGGTTTGATTAATCTTCAGTTATCTAAACCATTTACAGGCGAAGGTGTTCTGCTAAATGAAATCTCCTGTTCAACAGCATTGCATCTTCTTGAGGAATGTGGGTCCACTAAGCAGGCAGATGAAGTTGTTGAAGTCAGAAGAACTTCCAAATCTCCCTTAACAACAATGACTGAAGCAGTTGCTTCTTTGATTCAGTGTAAAGGCCTGTCACCTTCACTCTTAGAGCAGCTACCCTCTAGGTCTGTGCTCCAAAATTTCTCTTCTTTCTTTCTGCCCCAAAGCTGTATGAACTGTGTTACAACCCCAAATTCAGTTGGATAGAAGCTGTGCAGTGATTTGCTGGCAAATTTATAGTTTATCCGTACATGCAGTGCCTGTCAACTGTATTAACATCTTTGACTTCTTCAGATGGGAACGGCTTGGGGATATTGTTGTGCTTCCAGTGACATCCTTCAAGGACCCAGTATGGGACTCCATTGGTGAAAAGCTTTGGCCTACCATTGCCAAGTCACTTAAGGCTTCTCGTCTTGCTCGTCAAGTAAGCTATATGCATGTTTTTTATCAAAGTTATTGCCTTATTAAAGGCTCCATATGGGACATATTTGATGATTACACTCCATGTTGAAAAGATCTGCTTGCACTTGTACTTTTCAAATGAATAAATAAATATATATATTGCAGTTGTACATTTCAAATAAATAAATATATATATATATATTGAAATGTATGTCAACAGTAGAAAATTCCCTCTTACTTCTATAAATCATCTGTGATTGATAATATGAAGACAATAAGTTGGACAATGGTTTATATTGGAAATTTGATATTTTGTTTATTTACCTGGTTTTTATTATTAGCTGTGGACCTGTATCTCCATGTTTGTTATGAGCTATTCATTTCTGGTCTTTTTATAACAGTAACATAAGGCTATATATCATACTGTCAAGTGAGTAGAAATAAGTTATATCATTAAGCTGGTGCTTTATATTATGTAAATGATTCCTTATGCGAGCTAGAAAACTTCAAAACCATGATTAGGTAGGATGCGTAGTACAACTTGTGAAATTCACTCTCCAAAGTTCTAAGCTAATAATTGGTTTATACTGAGCCTATGAACGCTTATATTCATTCATGAATTTGTTTCTGTTTCTCAAGGGTCGAGTTGCATCAACTGGTACAAGGGATAGTACTTTGGAGATGCTTGTAGGAGATAATGGCTGGGTCAACCATTGTGAGAATGGGATTCTCTACTCCTTTGATGCTACCAAGTGCATGTTCTCCTGGGGCAATCTCTCTGAAAAGCTTCGAATGGGTTGTCTAGACTGTAGAGATGAGGTTATTGTGGATCTGTTTGCTGGAATTGGATATTTTGTATTGCCATTTCTTGTCAGGTATGATGGAACTATCAGTATCTTTATTTCTGCCTACATCTATAATTTATCAATTGAGGGTTCACTCTCTCTCCCTCTTATAGATGAAAAGTATCTGTGAACTTGTTTTAGACCAAAGTCTCCTTATCACACTTCTGTGTGTGGAAATCTAATCTTTTGATGCATAGACAAGTGTGTGGTTTATTGATCACATATAAAGTTTTGGTAGCAGGCTGCAGTGATATATAATTTATAGTGTGGGTTAGAATAAATACTTATGCAGAGTCAAGCTTACTGTAGTGTTGAGCTTAGAATCCTCTATTTGACAGTTGAACCAAAAAAAAAAGGTTCAGTGTGCCGTAATTTTTTTTTTCCCCCTTGGATACAAAATTAAGAAGGTAGTTTAAAACTATAACAAAAGTTATAAATATAGGGTGGACCAAGTGTCCACAAAGAAAGCAAAAAACGTTAGGGAGAAGTAAACATTATACTAAAACCCCCTTTCCTGTATAACCTAGGCTATAAAATTAAGCTTCCAAAACCCCTTCCTAATTGGGATGAATGAAGAAAAGAGAGTAATATTGGAATTCCTTGGACAGTTATATTCTTTCATCTATAAAAGAATTTCAGCATTAGGATGTGGAATCCTTAATAAAAATTTGGATGGTGGTTGTGTTCATCATTGTCTGCATTATCTTACTAGCTATTTAACTGGTTAATCATTTATATATTTGCATCATGTTGTTTTTAAGCTATCATATTGATTGAACAGGGCCAAAGCAAAGCTGGTTTATGCTTGTGAATGGAATCCCCATGCCGTTGAGGCTCTTCAACATAATCTCAAATCCAACGCTGTCTCTGATCGTTGTATTGTACTTGAAGGGGATAATCGGATTACAGCACCTAAAGTATGTCCACAATGGTTTCATTGTTAAGTAGCTTAATTATTTCTGTTCTGCATGCACACATAAGCTTTATACAAACCCCAGGAACCTGAACATTTTCTTTCTAGCTCTATTTAGATAATGAGCAACCTTTATAACAGTGATTTAGGGAACATGCAATCCCTGTATAGACTAATGGCAACAGCCCACCGGTCCTAGAAGATGGCCTTTCAATAATCTAGAAGTGAAGTTCAGGACTGACCTATGAACGGGTGATTTGTTAAAATACTATATATATTATTGTGTTTAGTGGTCATACATTTTGTTAATACCATGAATCGGTTTTAACTTGGAAGAATTATATTGATGTTTTAGAGATATTGTTTCTCAAGTGTATATTGATTGCAACTGTTCTGATTTGTTTTTGCCTTAACTTTCTTTGTAGCTTATATATAATATAATTCTACTTTATGTTGGCAACATTTGAAAGAGTGCACACTACTTATGAAATGACCTGGCTTAAATTCTCGTGTGTTGGTTAATATTCTATGCTTGTTTACAAGAAAGTTATTACCTTCGTAGCATGTGGTTTAATCTTAAGGAGGAATTATGTTGTGATTGATTCATCATAAATATTTTCCTCCCAGGGAGTTGCTGATCGCGTCTGTCTTGGTCTCATTCCAACAAGTGAAAATAGCTGGGTTGCTGCTGTAAGGGCATTAAGGTGCTTTATTCTAACCAATGATTTTTGAATTTCAACTAGCGTTACACATAGAATTGATATTGAGTTTAATATCATTTCAAAGGTCCTGTAATTGTCAATTGCCTCCTTCTCCTTCCATTATTCTTGGTTTTAATGGCATAGTTAACTCTGCAGGACTGAGGGTGGAACGTTACATGTGCATGGCAATGTGAAGGACTCAGAGGAGAGTTCATGGAGTGAACATGTTTCAAAATCAATATACGAAATAGCTGCATCTGAAGGTAATATTTTCTTGACTTGTGCAAGACTTTTAGAGTTCTACATATGGCTTTATATGTTTACTCCATGACAAGCGTCTTAGAGAATGCAGTGCTCAGACAATTTGAGTATTCAACTGTTTTCAGGTCATAGTTGGGAAGTTACAGTTGAACACGTGGAGAGAGTTAAATGGTATGCACCCCACATTCGTCATCTCGTTGCAGATGTGAGATGCAGAAAGATGCAAAGATAACATTCAAATGTCTTCTTGGGGTCGGTGACAATGAAAGCCATCAATTCTTCACATGTAGTAGGCCATGGTAAGTTGGCCTTTCCCTTTAACTTATAAGAGAAGATATATGTTATTCTGAATGAAAATTTTGTAACAGTTTAAAAGAAATGACCTAAATTATGATATCAATTCACCAGGGACAGACAAAAAATGATGTCAACTTATTGAACTTTGTTGTTGCTTCAGCACTAGCTTCCATTAGTAAAGCACATGTAATGCTTGCTTGTTTCATGATTGCCTCCACTTCATAAAGACTATGAATGAGCATTGAATTTCAGCTCTGAAATTTGTTCATCATCCCACTAGAGTACCCTAAAGAAATTATCATTTATAATGTCTATCTTGGAAATATCTTCCCAGTATAAATAATAATGTAAACACCCTTTGGCAGAACGTGTACGTTTCCTCCAAATTTATTTATAGATTTAAAGTATTTTTCATTGTCCTGTAGCTAGTGCGCCACATTGAATGATTTGTGGATCTCTAGACAATACTTGCTCATTAGGAACCCTGTGTAAGCAATTAAGGGTTTAATCCAAGGTCCGATCACCAAAAAAAAAAAAAAAAAAAAAAAAAGGAATTTGGGTGGAGCCCAGATTATCCAAAAGTGGACAAAATGTGACCAGGGTCCATCGAGAAGATTCTAAAACACTTTAATGGTGTGATGGTTAACCGGAAATTTAGTGAGTGGATTTGTGACATTGAAGACTCTATTAATACTGTTTACTGTGTAGAACGTGAAGTGTCGGTGGCCACGCTGGTCAATATGGTCCAGCCAATTTTTGTTGGCTTCAGGCTTCAGCCACTCAGCGCCACAATATTTTAACTTGATTTAGAACTCGTTCCTTTTTATTTCGTGGGTCACAAAGCTATAACATGGAACTCAGCTCACATTGTTTTATTTTTTTTTTCCAACCCCAATTTACACATTCAGAATAAAGAAACCGCCTTCTAAATTTGACAAAAAGAAAATTTGATCTTAGAATAAGTTTAAACAATTTGATTACCCTTACGAAAATCTCATTTTTTTTCTTTTTTAATTTTATGATCAAGAGTGTCTGAACCAGTTTACTTGTACACACTTTAACTAATCTCTCAATACTCTAGAATTATAGGCCATATACAAGCTCTAATGATAACCCTTTTAAGCGGTTGCGAGAATTTGAACTAAGGAAACTATGTAAATTTAGATATTTCTGTTTTTTTACTATCAAATCACTAATGGTGGTTAAATATAAAGCATTCAAGAATGGTGGTTAAATATAAAAGCATTCCTTGATGACACCGACATTGCACGTAGGCTACGGCAGAGTCAAGACGGCTGCAGCAGCCGTTAGCTAAGTTGATACACAACTTAATTACGATAAAGATAAAGTTAAGATCATTACAGGGATTAAATCATCTCAAAGTACTAGTAACAAAGGGAATTATGGGGGTAAGTGAAGAGCCTTTGCCCTTTTGGCTCCTAAAGTTGAATTGTAATTACTAATAAGCCGAAGAGATTGGACCCATCCTTATGCTATTGCTTGCAAACTAATACAATTATTGCCGTCTAAAGAATATGACTATTTTTGCTTTTGCTTTTATTTCATTATTTTATTTCTTCATCTCTGGCTTTTTCATGTTCTAATTAATGCAGTTGCGTTTGTTTAGTTATTTAGAGTAGTATTTTTGAAATATTATTGTTAGGTAGAGTTGGGTGATTATTACGAATTAGAATTTGAAAATTAAAAATAGTTGAATAATTTAGGATAAGATTTTGAAAATATGGAAACAAATATGCATTTTTATTTGGAATACGAATAGGATAGGGAAACAAACGCGTATTTTAGTTATTTGGAGTAGTATTTTTGAAATATTATTATTAGGTAAAGTTTGGTGATTATTACGAGATAGTTAGGGGATTATTATGAGGTATGATTTAAAAATTAAAAATAGTTAAATAATTTGGAATAGTATTTTGAAAATAGAGAAATAAACGTGCATTTTGATTTGGAATATGAATATGATATTTAACAAACGCACCCTTAAGATAAGTGCTTCTCATCTACCATCTTGTCAGTATTATAATACCAATATAATGAGTCATCACCTTGGTGATAGATATATGTCTTTATGCCTTTATTTCATTAATACGTGGTATCCAAGCTCATTTTAGAGGCTATGAAACATCCTACAAGTTCAATGGATCAAGGTAATTGTACAAATGTGATAAATGACTCTTTACGACTCGAACACAAAACCCTTTGAGAATAGCTGATCCCAATGGCTAAAGACTTGGCTATCCGACCACAAGGGAGAGGTTTCCTGATTGTATTATTGCCTTGTAAAGCATATAACTATTCTTGGTTTTGCTTTTATTTCATTATTTTAGTTCTTTATCTATGGCTATCCATGTTCTGATTAATGCATTAAGACAATAACTTCTCATCTACCATCTTGTCAATATTACTATAGCAATTCAATGAGTCATCACCGTGGTGGTGGATATATGCTTTTACAATTGAATTTCCATTTTGGGTTATTGAATTATTTCACAAGAAACTTTTAGCTTCACGAGTAAATGTTTGTTTTTTTCAAATTGTATTGTATATTTGATCAATGGTTTAATGGGTACGTTTGTTGAGGATCGAAAATTACAAAAAACAAAAAAAAAAAATAATTGATGCTTGTTCTCTTAATTGCCAACATAACCCATTATTTCTTTCTCGGCATTTCCGCCTTTCATTTCCCACTAGTAATGGAAGCCAATGGATGAAATTTCAACCACTCTTAGGTGATCGGGTGGAGCGATAAAGACTCTTGGATGTATTACTTAAGAAGTTTTGAATTCGATTCCCTTCAGTTGCTAATAAGGGTGACAACTGGAGGGTTTATTCGGTCATCAACTTCAAAACCTTGGATGATTAGTTGGAGTACGCACAAACTGATTCAAACATCCTCGATTACAAAAAAAAAAAAAAAAAAAAAGATAAAAAAAAAATAGATGAAACCCCACATCAAAATAAAAGTAAAAGGTTCAATTCCTTTCGCTTTTGTCCATTTTCAACCCAACAAGATAACGATGTATCCATGGATTAATACTTTAATAGTAATAAAGGTGAAATTAGGTCATATTTTTTTAATCAAATTGATAACACTTCCAACCTTCAAAAACTATTAAATTGGTATTAAAACCCCTTTAAAATTTAATTGAAAAACAAAAGATTCCTTGGCATTGAAAAAGTAATTAAGATTTCTCATTAATAAATTAAGAACCAAACAAGGTGTATGCCAATTGTGAAGTAAAGGCCGAAGGGGCTCTTCATGAGTGCATTTATACTTAATTTGATGCCGCCAATGCTTTTGTTCTTCAACTTTTCTGATGTCTTTTGCCAAAACAAGAATTTTATGAGTACTTCTCTGCATCTAAAAGCATAATTAATCAGTGAATCTCACATGGGCTTATCTTATTCCCATACAAAATTATTACATTTAATTTAGTGAATATTGCTGAAATCAAGCATATGCTTAATTCTGAAAAAAAAAAAAAAAAAAAGCATATGCTTAATTACCTCGAAATCTGCTTTCAAATTCATCTTGCTTTTTCCATAAAATTAGCCTTGAAATGGAAAGTAAAGGACCCATGTTGATGTATATTAAATCCAATGCCACTTACTTTTTGGGTGAACAAATTTAAGTACAAGAATTTCTAGCAAGTTCCGTCTTGACCATCTTCTCTGAGACCTGGGACCCAGCTTAAAACAGTACTTGCACTAATATAGGACTACGTCAATTTAGTATCCGGAAACAATAGAATGTTTACGATTACTATCAATGGTGATAGGATGCTAAAATAGTAAAAAAAAAATTCTATGAGCTCTTGAATTTGAATTCTTTTAGTGAGTTTTATATCTAAAAGGCTAATTTATTAGGTGGAGAGACTCCCCCTTGATAAACCAAAGATCTCCTCAATACACTTCTGATATGAGATTTGTTACATTCTCTCTCGACCAATCTTATGACACCTTCATCAATGTGGGGCTCCCTATCTATCTGTCCATCTCACTCTCATATAGATCAACAATCACACATAGACGTTTCTACGCAGGTGTTTGATGGGACATCAAAAGACAGACCAAGTCGGCTCTGATATCACTTGTCATAGGTTAAGAGTTTCACACCTAAAAAGTTAACCTAATTAGGTGGAGGAACTCTCCCCTTTTATAAGCCTAAGATCTCCTCAATACACTTCTTATGTGGAATTTATTACACTAAGCACTAATAAGAGCGACTACTAAAATTCTTATCCTATCAATAGTTTTAAGATTTCGAAGATTAGTTGAAGTATACATAAATTAGATCAAACACTCCGGTGATCCAAACAAAAAACAATGCAATGTAATTTAATGTAATGAAAAAAGTCAATGGAACTAGAACCCCTTAACTTTATAGGAGCAAATCTAAAACTTTAGAGTCGGGCAAGATTCCAATTTTGAACGTGGCTTACGAACTAAGTGGGTTCAGCGAGACTCTTTCAACTTGGGTTTGAAAGTAAATGAGAAGAGTTCGGGATAATTAGAAAAATAAAAGTAAAAACAATTTTCAGTCATTTACTGTTCTCAGCAGTTTCTGTAACGCCAGAAGAGTTCTCAACTTCCAACACAGATCAAGTTAAAAAGTTCAGTATAGCAGTAAATGGTGGATGAATACCAAGAGTACGAACGTTAAGAAAGGTCAAAAGCATGACCTGATGACTCATCCCCCCAAAATTAATATCAACTGGCTTTTTTTTATATTATGATTATTATCCAAAGTGGGTTTTCTTTTCATTATTTAAGAAGTATCCAAGAGAGGGCAATAGCAACAAGGTCAGTGGCCTTTAGTGAGTGTGAGAGTAGTGAGTAGATAGAGAAACCAAAAAAAAAAAAAAAAATGGCCTCCAAAGCTCTCTTCTTCTTTGCTTTGTTATCCTTCTCAGCTTTAGCTTTTGCTGAAAATGAAGATCAAGACCCTGGTCTTGTTATGAACTTCTACAAGGATTCTTGCCCTCAGGCTGAGGAAGTTATCAGAGAACAAGTTAAGCTTCTCTACAAGCGCCACAAGAACACTGCATTTTCTTGGCTCAGAAACATCTTCCATGACTGTGCTGTACAGGTATATTACATTACTTTCTATTTTGTTTACTTGCTTTAAAGAGTTGTCAAATGGTTTTATATGAATGCATGTTTGTTTTTCTTGTGTGAGGTTAGTCATGCGATGCTTCATTGTTGCTGGACTCTACAAGAAGAAGCCTGTCTGAGAAGGAGATGGACAGGAGCTTTGGAATGAGGAACTTCAGGTACATTGAGGACATCAAGGAAGCTATTGAGAGGGAGTGCCCTGGAGTTGTTTCCTGTGCTGATATTCTTGTGTTGTCTGCCAGAGATGCCATTGTTTCGGTACTTAATTTCCTTTAGATCTCAAAGTTTGAGCCTTTCTTGATTCCAGCTGTTTAATGACAACTTATATCCTGTTGGTGCCTTTCCAAATTTAACAAAGGATCTAAAACTAAGTGCATGCAAGTAATTTGAGTTTCTGAAAATTGTTTTTTTTCAGCTAGGAGGGCCTTTCATTCCTCTCAAAACAGGAAGAAGAGATGGTAGAAAGAGCAGAGCAGAAATCCTAGAAGAATACCTCCCAGATCACAATGAGAGCATGACTGTTGTCCTGGACAGATTTGCAGCCATGGGTATTGACACCCCTGGAGTTGTTGCTCTTCTAGGTACACTTTTTTTCTTTTTATCTTAACCATCTTCCCCATGTGTGCATGCGTGTTTGTTTTGACATACATATGACATAACAAAGTGGCTTAAAAGTTAATATAATTTTTGTTTTATTATTGCATCTTGTAGGATCTCACAGTGTCGGCAGAACCCATTGTGTGAAGCTGGTGCACCGTTTGTACCCAGAGGTTGCACCCGAGCTGAACCCTGACCATATTCCACACATGCTCCATAAGTGTCCTGACCCAATCCCAGACCCTAAGGCTGTCCAGTATGTGAGAAATGACCGTGGCACACCCATGATTCTAGACAACAACTACTACAGGAACATTTTGGACAACAAGGGCTTGCTTATTGTGGATCACCAACTGGCCACTGACAAGAGGACTAAACCTTATGTGAAGAAAATGGCCAAGAGCCAAGCCTACTTCTTCAAGGAATTTTCAAGAGCCATTACTCTACTTTCTGAGAACAACCCTCTCACTGGTACCCAGGGTGAGATCAGAAAGCAGTGCAGTGTTGCCAACAAGCTCCACTAGAAGCTATATGTACAAGTTGTTCTACTTCTAGCTAGCTAGCTATCAAATTCTCTTTCTTGTGATGGAGAAGAGTGTGCAAGTAGCTAGCAAAATAAGATGGCTTTTTTTAGATCATGGGTATGCTTTTAGTGGGCAGTAATTTCTGTGTTCATTTCATGCATGCTCTATTACTTAGACTATTAGTGTCTTTTTTTTCCTATGTTTCTTGTGAGAGGTTGAAGATGTTAGTAATGAGTATGGTGGATGTGGTATGCATGAATGTGTATGAACTGATGGTGGGGAAGGTGTATGTATGGTATGGTGCAAGGATGACAATGATGATGTATAATGGATGATTTATGCCTTATAAGCTTTTCAAATATAATGTTAAGGATGATGCATCTATACTTGAATGGAATTCAATGAACTGATGAAGAAGAAACACGCCAACCTGAAAATGAGGTATTTTATGTGTCCCCACAGTTGGCAAAATGACAAAACTAAATAAGTTAAAGGTATAAACATGACATTTACAGCCATATAAAATGGATAAAGATATCAAAGAAAGAAATAAAGAATTGAAAGGATAAGATTCCCTTCATGCAAGTAAATATAGCTCCATACATACTGTGCAGTAATAGATTTCGGTAGGTAGAGGGACATATAAAATCTTCCACAGACAGAGAAGTGTTGTTGAAGAAACACAAAGAAAATCATAGCGGAGTCAGTGTGCATGACAAGTTACGTTGAAAATGATTTGGAAGTTTGTATATAAATTAGCTGCATTCATTATTGTAATTTTCTATTGTTATATGTTAAAGCTAAGATGCATTACCAATAACAAGCTTAAGATCTCTCAACCCTTTATAATATTGATTTAAAGAATGGTAGTCATTGAAATTGCCTAAACATCAAATTCCAGGGAAATGAACAGACTCAAGACAGTGAATTTTTTATTAGAGAAGTAAAACCATTTAGATGATGAAATACTTAAAAGAGAGCCTCAGTTTGCAGTCTCAATTCACAGGGTTTCCAGAATCAGCCTTTAATGTCATCTAAGTCTTAGGAAAAACAGCTATTTTCCTTGAGGTTCTCGCTAATGTAGCATTTTTAGTTTTTGTAGACGGTAAAAATCTACGGTTACGGAACGGATTGATCCTATGATGTTAAAACCACCGACGATTTGTTAGACTTATACACAAAGAAGTAAGTGCATAGCTCACGAGGAACACTAGTGTGGTGTCTGCCGTAAGCACTTTGATGCTCAAGTCAACGAGGCTGGAAAAAGCAATTTAGTGAGGGCTAGGGGGAGGAAAGGTTACCGAGTCTCGTCTAGTCTTTTTAGGAGCAATTAAGTGGTATTGATATTTGGTATTGATATTGAATGAATAATGAGAGGTATGACCTCTGTTTATATAGTGAGCCTAGGAGCTTTAATCATAATAGAACTCTGAGTTCATAATGGTGGAGTTTGAGTGAATAGGGAAGTACTAATTTACTTACTTTTGTAGGAGTAAGAGTCTTAATTCATGCAAGATTTGGGATCTTAGATGAATTAGGATATATATGAAACCCTTGGACGGATTGGGATGAAGGTGGAATCTGTAAATGAATTAGGATATGAATGAAACTCTTGGTCCTTTGAAGCGACCATGGGCTGATGGACTTGAGCCCAAGTGAGCTAATGACGAGGCCCAGTTTGGGGCAAGGCTTTAGTAATTGGATGGTCCAACTTGTGAGTAGTTTGGACTGACTTGTAGTGTGGATCTTAGCATAGGCTCAACCGGAATTGGGTCATGCAATAGATGTTTTGGGTTTGAACTTGGTGAGACCCATTACGATTTTTTGTCCATACAAATATAATTCTAGAAACAGATTTAAGAATGTTGTTCCTGGAAAAGTAAAGATCAATTAACTGTCTAACCTCACACAAAGTTCAACAATAATGAGCAGTAACCTTGCATTGATGCAGTTAAACCCATTGGTTAGAAACAGTTATTTTAAGTGGCTGGCACTGAGAACTTGGGAGCAAGAAATCAACTTTTTTTTTTTTTTACTATAACATACATAGAACATGCAGATGAACCAGTAAGGTACTTAAATATGCATTACATCGCATCTCTTTTGCTAAGATATTTTTTTTTCCGAAGGAGGTTCATTTACAAAATTGCACTATGTTCAGCTGGTGCATTAGTTGCAGCTTGCTAATGGCTCTTTTGGTTCTGTACTGCTTGAAGAGTTATCTGAATCGCTATCAGGTTCCTCCAGAGCCGCATTATTCTTTGCACTACCTTCTACCATCTTAGGGACAAATGGACTGCTGGAGGGATGATTATTATAAGGCTGTGGATGGATTGAGATGTAATTTGCAGTTGATGGAAAAGACCGGTAACCATAGGTAGTTGGGTAGGGACTAGGAGGAAATGCACTTGGTGGAGGCCAATACATCATTGGCATGAAAGTATTTGCAGGCTGTGGTGGGAATATATGATAGGGGGATTGATTGCGGTATGACACATTAGTAGCAGAGTTAGGAAATACTTGGTTTGATACTAGAGGGGTATCGGCATGAGTCTGCGATGGCATAGACTGAAATGGTGCTATTCCATGATTTTGAATAGAGGCATACCCCATCATCCCAAATTGCGCGGGAGGCACAGCACTTGGAAGAACAGACTGTTGCATTGAGGATCTTGGTGCATTCTGAGCCTTACTTGTGGAGTTCGATTGTTTCCTGACCTTTGATTTTGTTGTTGTTGTCTTCCCAGTCAACTGCTGAGAGCCAGAACTGGGCTGCTGAAGAGTGAAAAAGTTGCAAACTGAGTCACTGATTCAATAGACTCCCAAACAAGTTCAGTGTTTCAGTTGGGACATTTCACCAAGTGACCCTAGTATCATGAATTACTAAAATCGAAGAAAATATGCAACAATATTACCATCTAAATGAAACATGACTCAGCAATGGTGTAATACTTAGTGACTCAAAAATCACAAAGAGTGTCCTGCAAGTTTTGATGGGCAGTTCTAACAACTCTTAAATATTAGGAAACATCAAATGACTCTGTGCAGACATAATTTCATTTTATGCTCATCAAGGTGGTACTTTTATTAACTCAAAATTTGATGCTGAAACAGCGGTCAATTTACTGGCTGCAGAACTCTAAATAAAACAAGTATTCTATTATGGAATTATCCTGGAGTTGAGATCTTACAGTATCAGGAGTGGCTGGATATGGAAGAAATAACTCTTCCCCTTCAGCATCCCTATCTGTCCTGCAACAGGAAGATTGTGTAAAAAGTTATACAACTCTTAAAAGATCTGCATCAAGCAAAGACTACAAGAAATCAAGAAATGGAGAAATTGAAATTCACACCTCGGGCAAGATAGAGCAAAGCTATCCACGTGGATTTTTATTGGTTCAGGAATATATAAATCACCTTACTTCTATAGGCCAAGTGTTCGATGAACATGAAGAGCTATGTGTATGACCACTTTTATTTAAGGAATTAACCATAATCCTGTACTTTATAATGCTTGTATGTTAAGAAAGCTACAAAGATATTGGCTTGACATATTGGTCTAATCTGTAACGCATTATATATACATCTCAATACAATATTTGGCATCATATACCTGTAATATTTTTGCAGCAAATCTAAGTTCCGGTATTTTGTTTCCCTTTGAACCAAGTCATCAGGAAAACCAGCCATGAACAGAAGAGTGATGCCCAAGGCCTTGAAGAAGAAGCTTCCACTGCGAACATGGACTAGCATTGCCATTCGGCACATAACTGGCCCAAAAGACTTCAGCTTGTTTCTTCCCATTCGTTGCCTGACATATCTGGAAAAATTGAGCGTAGACAATAGTAGGTTAGGCTAAGAGATCGGCAAAATGTTAGTAAGTCACCATCAACTGGTACACTGCACAGTGCTATCACTAGCACTTTCATGCCTTGGTTGTTCTAGAGAGAAAATGGTCAAATCTCTTCAAGGTTTTAAGATCATGCGATTTGAAACATGAACAAGAAAATCCTGTCTTTCCATTCAGATTTGGGACATAAAAACGAAATATGATTCTGTAGAATGGAATAAGATATGATTACACCTTTGCAAATCAATATTATTGTAGCACTTACTCATTCTGGGGAAGATTTCTAGTCCTTCCACCGTACTTGATGCACAAAAATAGGCATGAAGGGCAGCTAGGATCAGATGGACGCATAGCCTTTTCCTCCTCAAGTATTTGAACAGGACAGAATGTTGGATTCTGCCGATTCGGATAGAAAACCTTCCTCCGGACTCCAGGATTCTCATATAGCACATGCTCCTGCTAACAAATGATTGAGATGTTTCATCCAATGATCAGTAAAAGAGAATACATAAAAGTAATTTCAACTAAATTATTAATAGACATCAATGGATTGTATTCAAAAAGTCCTAATGAAGATCTATAACAGGCTCAGCTGGCATTCCATGATGGTTGAACTGGTCATGCGTATTGCAACCTATTCACAATATTATATGCAAGAAAAATTTTAGGTTGTTTCTTGTACTTGCAAGATGTTTTGGCTAACTGAAAAATTGACATAAAACAATTTCAACTCATTCAATAAACAAAGGGACACCAAATGCCCTTAATTCAAGTTCCAAAGATGTCCAAAGACCCCATAAAGCAATATCAGAGTCTGTATTGCAAATAGCTACATAAAACAGTCCCTTGTCTATCAATATATTAATTCATTCTATTAACAGGTTGAGATCATCAGAGCCAACATTTTTCACTATTTAAACTGCTGGGGATGCGTGTGGAGGAGAAGACATCTTCATACAAATCAACTGACCTTATAAATTCAAGACAAGACAATCAAAGAACAAACAATACCACTTCTAGAGAGGGTATCATATTTAGATTGAAACCATTTTTGTAGTCAATCTACTAGGAATTTTATACGCCACCTCTATGTCCAGTAATGGTCACCAGAAAATATTTTTGTGTGGCTCTTGAGACAGCGGATGCATATTAAGAGGAAAAAAAAAATCTTGATTATATAGGGTCAAAAATAAAAAAAAGTAGCACCGAGAATAAAGTTTCTTACCCCAGGGTTCTTTGGAGACACAAATGGTTCCCCCTTCCTTAAGATGCTAAAATGATTGAAGTCTAACTCATACATATCTTCACATCCATGCCTTATACCCAGGGATGCAAATACTATGATTTTTCTTATGGTATGGGACTGAGCAGTTTTCAATAACAGGGCTTCTGATTCAAGAATTCTCTTTACTTCTTTTGGACAGAAAGGCACCTTTGCAGGCTTTTTATTCACCAATATGCTAGCAGATCCTGTATGACAAGCCTCCTTCTTATGCATCAGCATCTCTTCTTGTGCTTTGTATTCTCCATTGTTCATAACTTCTCTCTTATCATGTTTCTTGAGATCCCCTTGTTTTCGAAGTGTTTGTGAATCAAGTGGTTTGCAGTCTTCTATTTCATACTCTATAGTTCCTTGGCTTACATTTGCAACAGTTGCCTCACTCTGACCAACAACAAAATTTTCCAAACAAGGTAGCATTCCCTGATCAAAATCTTCTTCATGAAGCCGTTCTTTTGGTTCACAATTATCAGTTCTTGCGTTAGTTTCATCATCTTCATAACACTCGTCATCTTCATCCTCACTTTCATCCGAATCATCACAATCTGCAGCAGGTTCACCATCTTTAACTTTATCAAAATGCAAAAACTGAGTCTCATCTATGCTCATCCAGTTGACTAAGCGCCCTTCTAGATTTGCATCAACTTGGCGAATGCATCTTTCATGTTTTGTCTTTGATGCCATATCACTTTTAATGACATTTGCATCTTCTGTTCTGTCACAGCTTGTTTCTATCTTTTGTCTTTTGAACTTCCTGATGTACCTTTCTGTTGCATTCAGACAGCTGCCCTGAGAGAGACCATTAGAGCTGTCATTATCACGATTAATTTTGAGAAGAGAAAGAATGCCAACAAATACAGTATTATAATTATACTCAGTGTTAATCAATAATCTACATGTCCAGATTTCTTGCATATAAATTATTTAATCTCAAAGTTTTGAGTTCACATACAAAACCATGTAAATGACTTCAACGAACAGATTAATAAGGTGTAGAAGTTGCTACAAAATCAGAACTTTTAAACATAACTGAATGATCACCATGCTCATTTATCATGGCTGTAGATAAATTTCATCATGATCATTGCATCAGATTAAGAGAAAAGGTGAACTACTTTCTCTTACATGAATATATAACATCGGAGAGCATCATCAGATTAGATTGTTTAGCAGACTGTAGAAAGGAAGCCATAAATGTATAATGATCAAACTAATCCAGAAATATAGAACCATGAATATGTTATCTCCAGAACCATTAAATTATAAGAGATTTCAGTAGTACTATCAATGTTTAATGAGATCAAATCAAAAGATTATCAAACGCTATTACAAGAAAAGTGGCAAAAACTCAAATATGAAGCAGGCAATATTAAACATACTTGTCCATCTGGTAAAAGAGACTCCTTGTCTCTCTCTTGTATTTGAGCTTCAAGTAATGATATTCTCTCCCTAAGTTCAGCATTCTTTTGTCTCTCTTTTTGTAACTCAGCTGAAATCTCTGCAATAACATTGACAGTGCTCTCTCCTTTCACTTCTTGCTCAATGGCACAGAATGCAGAAGCATTCACCAAACTAGCACAACCTTGATGCTCCACCATTGGAGAATATTATATATAACACCAACACCCTATTTCAAAACCTTAACTTCAACACAAATATATATATATAGCAGCGATCGTTATATTCAGTAGAAATGAAACAAACCCACCATTATGCTTCAAAGATTCAATTAATAGAAAAATCTCTAGAAAATATATATCCTAAAAAATACAATAAAAGTATTTAACTTTCAAGACAAAACCGACATAAAAAAAATATAAATATATATATATTAACTGGAAAAGCAAAGTTGGATTGGTTCTCTATATATGTAGTGGCAAAATGATATTGTTCCATTGACTGAACACTTGTTTATCAAAGTGAAAAGAGCATGATCTATATATGGAAAGAGTGTGGACTATATGTTGAATGATAGTCAAATAGTTAAAAGTTAAAAGTTATGAAGCAACATGAAGTCTTTAGAATAATTTGATCAAACTAAATGTATGAAGTAATAGTTCTTTGAGAGAAAGAGTGGAGAAGAAGAAGTGTGGAAGCAAATGGTGATGAGGAAGAGAGTGATGAAGAAGGAAGGTTTTGGTTTTGGCTTTGGTTTCAGTGTTTTGTAAAAAGGAAAAGGGGACGGCGAAGAGTGAGGCATGCAACCCCACGTGCGCCTCTCAACTCAAGATGATCATATTATTCTTTTTTTTTTTTTTTTTTTTTTTAACTTTTTTAATGCCCGCGGTTATTCCATCAACTTAAGTAGAACTCAACCAGTCTCTTTGCACCCTGGAAATATCAACCGAGTAAGAACTCCAGTGATTATTCTTATTAACAATCGAAGAGGAATTCGAATTCAGAACTTCTTGAACCTAGTTAATAAATACAGGTACGACAAAAAAAAGGTATGAGAATTTTACGGATATGATATGGTAAATGGTGAAAAATACGTTTGTAAAAATTCGGTCATAAAATTTAGATATGAAAAAATACGGTATGAGTATATACGGGTTTAATACAACACATTATCAATAATACGTTTTGAAAAATACGGTAATATAAATCCTAGTTTTAGCACTTTTTATGGGCCATTTAGTTAAAATTTATATAGCATTTCAAATATACAGGAACCGCCAAAAAAGGTAATGGGAATTTTACGGATATGATACGGCAAACGGTGAAAAATACGTTTATAAAAATTCAACAAAAATTCGAATACGGAAATAATTCGCGAATAATACGGCTAAGGCATATAATTAGCGAATAATACGGCCAGGCTGATAAAATATGACAGTTCACGAATAATACAGGAATTTACTAACTAGACTCTTAAGTAATATACCCAATAGTCCTTATCGAATCATTCAACCAACAAGAAGTAGTTTATTTTTTCTTTTTTTTATTTTTCTTTTTTCTTTTTTTTTTAATAAATATTTTTTTCTCTATATGAAAAAATTTTAGAATGCATCTTTCTTGATAATCAAATCTTGAGAGTTAAGAGGATCAAACCTGATACCGTACGTCTTAATCACACATCTCAATGTTCGTCCTACCGTTTGAGCTACCCAAGGATATGTCGATGAATATATACATATTCCACAAAGTGATATAACATATATCTCAAAAAGAAAAATTCTTTTTAATGTTAAATACACGTAGATTCGATTAATCAAGGAGTTGATATATATCATACGAATTGATGTGACAAATTCTTTTTTTTTTTAAGCCAATAAAGATATATATGCCAATTTTTTTTTTTAATATTATCTAGTTTAAAAATCATAATTGATTTAGTTTTATTATCCAACAATAATGTTTTGTTTATAATCGAGTCATATAATCAGATAAAAATTGCACAAAATTTATGTAAAATAACTATTTTGTCCTTTGTTTTTTGCCTGGTTCTATGACTCAGTTATAAACATAGCATTACTCATTATCTAAAGCCATTAAAAAGGTATTAAAAAGTAACAATAAGCTTTATTAATGAACCATCACTGGGTGTCCTACTGGTTAACTAAGACTTTTGGGTATATTACTCAAAAAATCTTCAGTTCAATTCACCTTGACCTCTAATAGGGGTTTCTACTGGAGACTTACTCGATCGTTAACTTCAAGGCCTCAGAAGATTAGTAAGCTAACCCGGACACTCTCGATAAACAAATAAAAAATAAATAAGCTTTATTAACAACTATAAGGTAAATATGGCTGCCATTTTGAACTACGCTATACTCTTGAGCTATTGCATATGCTTAATTGTCTTTGTCTTAGGGGTTTATATACGAGGGGCTTGCTTAATTTAATTAAATAAATCATGGTTTAATTAATTTATTGATAACAGTTCACCTTAAGATTTAATAACAACAGTGATATTGTCTTCTTATATAAGTGCTGTAGTTGTGTTGTGTGCCCCATTTTTAAGCTGGCTGGAAGCATCCGAGGCTATAGGTCTAATAATATTATAATTTAACTTAGTAGATCAAATTAATAACATGTTAAAATATAATTAAGAAATTAATCACCTAACTGTAAGCATGACCATACTTAAAACTAGTTAGTTGGAAGAATGTCAATGCTCATGATCTCCCTTTCTAATTCACATTAGGTGACTTTTTTTTTTTTTTTTTTTTTTTTTTTTAAATATGATAATCGGGGTGTTTAGACCAACTTGCTCGTACCTCAACTAATCCTCGAAGTCTATTGAACACTTTACAAGCCCAAGCTCAAAGGATTAGGTAAGTCATAATGTTATTGTGTTAGGTCGTCCCAAGGTTTGAACCCAGAAACTCAAGGAATGAAGCAAACCTTTTTTATCGTCAGGTCAACCCCATTGAGGTTTAGGTAACTTATTTTGATAGTTTCTTTGTTTACATAAACTGTGGCTACTTTGCACAAATAAACGAACGTCCCATAACAAGTTTGTTGATAAGAAAAATCACACTAACTTGAGAGATTCGATTAACCTTGACGGAATTGAAATTGATGGATATATGATTAATTAAAATCAACTAGGAAGAATAAATAAAAGGGCATAACACTTTTTAAAGTGGTTCAGCGAGTTAACTCTCAAGCCTGCGTCCACGGTTCTTGTATTAAATTTGGAAGTTACAAGAATAAACACTCTTCTCTCTATAAAATAGCTAATCCATTACACTAACATTTTTAGGGTTATTTATACATGAATTTGATAACTTTTTGGAATCATAGTTTAAACATGGGAAGTTAACCCCATGATTGGCGTGACCGCGCTAAATCCGGAGTTGAGTGATAAGATACCGAAATCCTCTCCTTAATTTTAGGAGATAAGGTTTATTGATAATATGTAAGACAACTGTCTGGTTAGCTCGCTCTGTCGAGAAGCACTTTCTCCGAGTTATCATTAATTCCGAGCTTGTCTTAAACTCTCGCACAACAAAGTCTTATGATAAAAATGCACGAACAAGTCTTTAAGATAAAATTCATAGGAATGCTCTGGTGTATCATAAACTCTCTTATTTCTTTATATATAATCATAATCATACTGGTTCGAGAAGATGATCAACCACATAAATGACCAATTGCCAATCTAAAGAATTTAATTGAATGTCTGAGAAAAATATGACCAGTTTTATCCAAATATTTATTCATTCATCTGTTAGATATCTTCAACACATGATATTTGGAGCCTATTGTCTGCATATGTCTTCAACCTCAGTTCTGTCTCTCCTTTTTTGTCTTCAAAATGAGATTAAAAAATGAGTATTCATCTCTGGAACAGCTAGCTTTCACAGCAAATTAATGGATTCAGAAGATTAAAATGACAGATTCCCTATTCTTGAAGGGGGCATAATTAAGGGTAATGTGCTCCAATTATAACAAAACTGATACAAAAATCATCACTGATAATAATAATAATAATAAAAACACTAGAAAAATTTGCTGTCTCTGTCTTGACAATCGAGTCCATCAAGCCTTTGGCTTTTCCTAGGTATAAAGAAACTCTGTGCACACGTGCATATAATATGCTTAATGGGTTACAGGATTTACACAGAAAATTACCCTCACGTGGAAACCTAACTTGAATGCTTGTCTCTAATGCAGTTTGTGTCAGGGGAATATGAAACTAAACCTTGGATTCCATCCTTCTAATCTTAAATTAATCAACAAAAACTCAAATGGGCATGCACTTGTATAAACAAATATTAATTGGGTTGTAAGTTTAGGCCATTGAGAGACATATCAGCCCTTGATTTTGCATTGCTTTTACTGTTTTACATATCTTGATGTCCAATTAATCTAAAGTCTGCATAGGGTTCTGTGGGAAAAGTTTTGTTCAAAGGTAAAAGAGTTTTGTGTAATGTTATACTACAAACAGCTCCAGCTCCTTAAGAACTGGCTTTCTGGTTTTTTTAATGTGTAAAATTGATCAAGAGAAGCTTGAGGGTAAAGATATTGAGAGAAATATTTTTCCTTCCACTATTTGATAATAATCCCAACCCAACTGAGTAAATATTCATTTGAAATATGTTTATTGTCATTCGCTATCGATGTAAGATGTGATAGAAGGTATCACAGTTCCGCGAACATATAAGCCTGCATGAATTCCCAGTATTGACAAAAATGAAGATAAAAAAAACAAGGAATCTAAGTGGGAATGTGATTCCACTTATTTGATGTTATGACACAAATCTTTACAAAGCCTCCATCATACAGAAGTACATAACTCTTTCTTATGGACATTACAATATTAAATAAGAATTATCAAAAAGGATCAGGTCATGGCCAAAACCTAATGTAGAACAAGAGAACTATTCAGAAAACAGTTATGCACAAATACTACCGCAACTCCAAGAGATACTAGCCGATGCCCGCTTTAATTGTAAAAGTTGGAAATTCAAGATGGCAAAAGGACACTTAAGAAATTAACAGTCACAATGGTCTAATCATTACTCCTGCGAAGATTACCCTATTTCCGGGGACATCTTTAAGTAACTCAAACATCTCGCTTGCCTGAAAAATACACAGCTGCCTACTGGACATTTAGCTCCCACCAATGGAACTAAAAGAGTTTTGCAGGCTGCGGTGGGCCACTTCTCATCATTGTGCAGAACTCTTCATAGTTGATCCTTCCATCCTATAATTTTAAGTGGTATTAGAACCAATAATGTGTCAAAAAGTTGGTTTGAAGTTTTCAAATCAGAAATTAACTTACATTATCTGTATCAACTTCAGAAATTACTTCCCGGATGCTAGCTTCGTCACCAATTCCATATTCCTTCATTGCTGTCTCTAGTTCATCCCTTGTAATATATCTGTCGAAAAGTTTACAATGACATAGTGATTTAATTGAGTAGCATATGACAAATTTCCCATAGATAAAGAAAATAATAGCTTTTTCTCCAGAACTTTTCCCATTTTTCTAAACCTCAGATTTTGAATCAAATTTGACAGAGAGAATTCATTCTTCCAAAACATGAAACATGCATCAACCAGAAGACATGAAAAGTAAAAAGATGAAAACAAATTAAACATTGAACTCTCATGATGTTTCTTTGGTATTCTTACTATCTGTTGTGCATTGTGGAAAACTAATGCAAAACTGATATATTTCTAGATAAGACAACTGCTCTAGTTTATACATGTTTGTTTATTGATATAGTTACCAGTAAATAAATAAACAAGTACAACAAACACAAAATAACAGCGAACTCACCCACTACTATCTTTATCAAAATACTGAAATGCTTTGAACAGGTGCTCATCTCTTTCCAGTCGGTGTCTATGCATGGTAGCCGAGATAAATTCAATATAGTCAATTGTGCCATTTCCGTCCACGTCAGCCTGAAATTCATTACACAGTCATAGCAAGAACGAGAGTTGAGTATGAGATGAGAGGCATATGCAACAACCAACAAAATGAGATGCAGTAGGGAACACGATTACTTACAGCTTCCATGAGTTGTTTGACTTCAGCTTCAGACAATTTTGACCCAAGTCGAGCCATACCTGACTTCAGTTCTTCATAAGTGATTGTGCCACTCTTATCAGTATCCATGTTTGCAAACATTGCTTTAAGACCTTTAATTTCCTCTTCAGATAGAGTTTCAGCAATAACCTGGATGAATTTTAAAATGCAAAACTTAGATGGATACAGCAAAGTGGTAGAAGAAGTGCAGTTGCGGTGGCTACGTGATAATACAGGAAAGGAGAGTGATGATGATCAGGTGAGAGGTGACAGCAATTTTGTTGGGGTGGCAGCAAAGGTGATGAGGAGGAGGTGGTAGCGGCAGCAGTAGTGACAGTGTATGGGGACCAATGGTGGTAATTTGAAACAAAATGGCCATTACACCTTATATTGGAAGAAACAACCCTCTCATATGCAAACCCTAAAGTTCTTCGCCAAACTAAAAGTCAGTATAAGCATAAGGAATCATGAATCTACCCACCCCAATCCATATGTGCCAAAACATGACCCAAAAAAAAACACCTTTCTGGTTTTTGTTTATGAAAGGAATCACAGAAGAGTTTCAAATTAGATGTGTATAAAGAGACTGGTATTTCTTATACAATTTATGGGCTAGCTATTGGCCCTTTAAAAAATAAAAATCAAACAAAACTAGAAAATTAGCAATACAGTTTGACATTCACCTTTAATGCAAGCTTCTTGAGTTTATTCATCGCCCTGAATTGCTTCATTCTAGAGAGGACTGCACTATCTATTGGCTTGTCTGTTCCACCTTCTCTAATCCATGGATGCTCTAATTATACAGATTATAATAGTTAGCGAAAAGCACATAAAGCCTTAAAAGAATAAAAATACCAGAAAATAGGAAAAAGAAAATCATCTGGATTGATTGACCAATGAGTAAACATCAAAATTTCACACCATCCATTTGTATTGTTATAATATAGTCAATGATGGCTTGCAGTGGCTTTTAATAATTCATTAGAATTTGATATGATGTTTATCTTTTGTAAAAGCAATGGGAAACTGTGGTACACAACTTGGCCAAGCATTAACAAGAAAAGAAAGTTAACCAACTTTTAAACTTAAATTGCCCAGGAATTTAGTTTCTACTATACTTCAACAGGTACGTAAACATAATTTATGGGAATGACACATGAAAATAAATAAATAAATAAATAAGAAACAAATTCTTGAGAAAAACTGACCAAGAAATAGAATTAGCTCCAGGGCACAATAAAATGATTTATGACATGATCATTTTCCGTAATGCTAAGCATGATTATAGGGTTCATTACCAAGAACTTGAGCAGAAGTGATTCGTTTTCTAGGGTCTTGTGTCAGCATTTTCCTGACAAGGTCTTTGGCACTGTCTGATATCGATGGCCATGGTTCACTTACAAAGTCAATCTCTCCTTTCAAAATGACATCAAATATGCCCTTTTCAGTCTCTGCAACAATAATGAGCAAAATATCTTAGCAAACGTAAGTAATAAAACATAGTTGACAAAAGAAACTGACAACATTGTAGAACATACGACAGTATTTCAAAAACTTATCAACTATTTCTTTACCAGCCCAAAATGGAGGTACACCACTAAGTAGAATATACAGAATAACTCCTGCACTCCAAATGTCTATTTCCTTTCCGTAGCTACGTCGTAATACTTCAGGAGCAACATAGTAAGCACTGCCTACTATATCACGATATACTTTCCCTGAGATAAATTTCCAGAAAGATTACATTTAGTTCATGGCTAGTTCACAAATAATAACATAAAATCCCCAATGAATTGAAACAATAAAAAATTAAATGTTTAGAGAAACTGCACGAACAGAAAAGAAGTTAATGAAAAAAAATTATCAAAACAAGAATTTTATAAGTTCAATAAGTGAGAGTGGACAGAAGCTATATATATGGTCATGAGCTAAATGAGCACTTTGAAAAGCAGCTTCTCAGATTTAAGCTTTCATGTTGATTAAACATTCATGTTGATTAACAGTCAAGGTACTCTAGCTCTCAGAACGTTCATGATATTTCACGCTAGTCTTCAACATTGAGAAGAAACTTGATCTATTTAATCATAAATCAACCTCCAAAATAGTATGTGCTTTAGCTAATATTTTTTATTGCTAAGAGCATCACAAACTACTTGAAATAGAGGTTTATATTTGCATAAAGTACTTTCCCCCATGAGACATAGGCTCTACTTGGTAACATAAGCCAATCGTTTATTGATTCATAACTAACCACAGATGAAGTGAAGGTCCAGTGGCCAATCAACATCTATAAATGTAGTAACTGGCAAACTCTATCAGAAATGAACTAACCTGTATACTAGATCACTAAACTAACAAAAAACTGCTGACACTTCTCTTTGAAGCTAAACCAATGGAAGACAATCCCGGCAGCATATCTGACCACTTCTAAACAAATGATGGAGGCCTAACCCCATGAATTACAGTTTCCTAAACTCAAGCATGTCCACAGATTAGATCTAAGTTCCTACTCATGAGGTGAATGCTTATTATAATAGTAAATACAACTCTGCTGTCTCAAAATTCAAGCCACAAAACGTGAAATGAATAAACTTGAAGGTTACAGAACCTAGCCATTATCACACAAGTTCAACCAATCCTTAGAATATTATACCTAATTGTCAAATTTCTCACAAAACACATCTTTTAAATTATAGAAATCTCGACGCTAAATTAGCAAAACTCGAAACATGAAACAGAAAATTCGACAGGGGAGTAAAATTATCACCTTCCTCAATGAATACAGACAGTCCAAAATCAGTTGCCTTCAACATAGCACCCTCACCCTTGCTGGACAACAAGAAATTCTCGGGCTTAAGGTCACGATGCATCACACCCATAAAATGGCAAATATGCACCACATTCACTATATCCCTACAAATAGTAGCAGCTGCTCTCTCAGTATAATGACCCTGAGCAATAATCTTATCAAAAAGCTCACCACCAGAGCACAACTCCATCACAAGATGCACTGATTGCCTGTCCTCATAAGCACCCCTAAATTCAACTATGTTTTGTTGCCCAGACAAATGTTGCATTAAAAGTATCTCCCTCTTCATGTCCTCCGTATCTTGTTTATTCTTAAGCTTTCTCTTCAGTATTGACTTGCAGGCATAAGTGTGGCCAGTTGATTTCTCAGTGCACGAGTATGTGATTCCAAACTGGCCTCTACCCAGTTCATTACCTAAAGTATAGAACTGTTTAATGTCATCAAAAGGCTTACCTAGTATTGTTTCCGGCCCATGAACTTCCCTTGTGTTTGCTCCTGCAGCTTTCACATGTTGTGGCTGTGGCCCTGTTCGTGAAGTGGCTTGAGCTTGAGGGACCGACACTTTGGGAGGCTGAGCAACACGATGTTGTTGTTGCTGATACGTTTGATGGGTTTGTCTAGGAGGAACTGTTTGCTGACTTGAATAACCAGTGCCTGATCTATAGCCATTAATATCTGATTGTGGAACTCTTTCTTTGCTGCCACAACAACCCATTTTTTTTAGATCAAGATAAAGAATTGAACTTGGAAATTAAACTGGGTTTTCTTCAAGAGCTCTTGTAAATGTGAATCTGTTGAAAAGGTTGAGGCTTTCGTACAGAAAGCTACAAATAGGAAGATGGGAAAGTTGAATATAGACAAAAAGGGATTTGTTTCAGGGGTATTTAAGCAAAACCCAGATCAAAATTTGAGTCCTTCAGATAAATTTCGAATTTTTGGGCAAACTCTCACATTATCCTTGGTAGGACTTGATGTTTGAAAAGCAGAATTCTCAAGTCTTTATCTTCGTGAAAATGTGCCATCTTCTTATTGAACAAGAAAGTCATATTGCTAATCAAATATATTTATTTTTCATTATTTTTGTTAAAATAAATTATTTTTTTCATTAATAATTGATTTTATTTATTTATTAAATTCTAAATTTTTTACAATAAGAAGAAAAAATCCTTGCGAAAACCACAATTAGTTGGTCCAGCAGTTAATTAAGACTTTTTAGTGTATTATTCAAAAGTTTTTGAATTCGATCCGCCTGAATTGTTAATAGGAGTGACCACTAAGGGAATTTATTCGGTTGTCAATTTTAGGATCCCGAGAGATTAGTTGAGGTGTACACAAACTGGCCCAAACACCCCCGATCACCAAAAATAAAAAAATCCTTGAGATTATTAGATTATTTCTTTATTATTCTATACAAGTTATTGAAAAAAAATATATATATACAATGTAAATCTTTTTATATGTCAATTATTTTTCTAAATTAGACTAAAATCCAAATATATCTTACTCCAAAATCCTTTAAAAATCTTTCTTTATTATTCTATTCAAGTTATATATATATATATATATATATATATATACAATGTAAATCTTTAAATATTTCAATTATTTTTTCTAAATTAGACTAAAATCCAAATATATCTTACTCCAAATTTCTTTAAAAATCTTTCATAATTAAAAAAAAAAAATCATCATAAATATTTTCAAAATTATTAAAAACGTTTTCAAAGTCTTAACAAAGTTATCACAAAATATAAAAACAATATGATATAACATGTATGAGAGATATTTTTTTTTTTTTTTTTTTGGGTGATCAAGGGTGTCTAAACTAACTTGCGCGCACTTTAACTACTCCTTTAAAATCCTAAAAACTGAAGTTAACACCCGAGTAAATCCTCTCAATTGTCACCTCTATTAGTAATCTAGGTTGATCAAACTCAAAATCTTTTGAGTAATACCTCCAAAAGTTTAATTTGACATTGGGTCACCCAGTCACAGTTTTGTATAAGCTCTGAATCATTTTAAAAGTATATATTATTTTCTAATAATTATGGGCGTATTTAATACTACAATAATTGTCTCACAAGATATATGAAATAAGCTTTTAAGATAATAATTAAAAAAAATAGAATATTTTAAAATGGTGATTTTTTTTTTTTAAATCATTCAGTTGATGATTACTAAAAAGGGTCACGTGTCAAAACTCAAAACTTTGAAAGCCGACAAATGCAGATAATTAATTAGTAGAAAAAAAGTCAAACCGATAATTTTTTGAAATTTGAGAAAATCAATAATTCATAAGCCCACTTATCATGTCTTGTCTGTTGTTTCATATGACGTAATTACCCCTTGTGACTTGTCCTGTCACCTGTGTGCTTACGTAATTTCTACAACACTCGTGGCCCAAAATTTAAGCTAACTAACCTTGTCTAGCCTGTGAGCTGTGAAAGACCCAGCCCACGAATTAAATTAATAATTTAATTTAATTAATTAATCAAACAACTTAATTATTTTTAATTTCATAATCTTATCCGTTATTAGAATTACTATTGTTAATTACGAGATTCATAATCACAAACCCATATCTTTTACATAAGGGTAAATCATATAAAAAGAAATAATTTAATCTATTAAAAAAATTTAATATATTAAAGAAAGACAAGTTGGCTAAATGGGTCAACATCCTATTGTGATGGAGGTCGTGGGTTGAGTCATCTCGAACTGTAGGCATAAGATTGATGAATTAAAGAAATAAGGTTGTATTTCTACAACGAGCTATCCCTTATAGACAGGTGTTGAGGGAGGGATCCAAGCTGGCAATAGTGAAAGTCAAGCTATAGTTTTTGGATTAGTGGCATGCATATGATCCAGGCCATGTGTCACTCAATTAAAGGGTTGCTTCACTTGTAAGTCTATCAAGGCTTACTTCACTTGTAAGTTTATCAGTACCACGTGTCATTCGATCTGAGGTTTACTTCACTTGTAAGTCTATTATTGTAACACAATATAAGACTACTTTTTACCCTAATCAAAGAAGATTCATTCATAACTTGGGCAAGCCGCACTTGTATACAGTGAAAGCAAAGAAAACAATGCAAAAAAAAGTGGACGTATGATTTACACCAAGTATCCAAACAATTTTAAAAATCTCTTTCTTGTGTTATTGTTGTGCTTTATTTCGCTCATTGATTCAGCATCAGAATCATGGGTTTAATACAAACTCTTGCATAGATTCTACCACGGATCTTGCGTACTTCCTATTGGTGTGAATTTTCGTAATGTTCTAAAAACCAGACTGGGACTCGACCTAACCAAAGGCCAAGTTTCCGGTTTTCATGGTTAGACCGGTCATGCTAACGTCAGCATGATGTTATGCTGACATTAGCATGATATCATGTGACATCAGCAAAAAAGAGAAAAAAAATCCAGATTTTTTATATAACTAAAATCCATCAAACAAACCCTACAATAATAAATTTCTAATAGTATTTAACTTTATGGCAGCATGTAAATGAGAAAATTTCTGTACTCATCATGTTACTCATGTTGGATTCTTGATTGCAGTTGACTTTTACAGTTGAAATGGTTAAATATTAATCTCAATAGCAAACAGTTTCTGGATAAATTTAACACTGAAAAAAAAGCTATTGTAATGAGAGCAAAAATTTATGTCCATTGTAAGTTCCTGATGTCACATTGAATAAAATTTATGTCCAACTGCAAGTTCAATCTTGAAAGGACAACGCATCAGTTATCTACCGGCTAATTATCGAAGCCACAATTAAATTAGCCATAGAGATAGAGTAGTACTGTATGCTCAAAATTAAAGATACAGTACCTCAAGATCCTTTGCATTTACCGATTCTATCTCAAGAGATTGTGAATCTATGTCAATAGCGATAACCTGTCTTATACAGGATTAAAGAAAAAAAAAATAACAAAAATCGGTACAGAGATAAAAAAATTGTACGCCATAGAAACATTTTCCGCAATTTGAAGGAAACTTTTCTGGAACAAATTCAGTTCAAAGAATCCACGAGGACAAGACGGAAGATAAAAAGAATTACAAACAATGACCAGTATAATTAGTTGTTGAGAAAGGATAGATTTGATATGATATTTGAGAACTAAAAGGAGCACGCGTAAAAGTAGGGGAAGAAAAATGTCTCACTCTGCACCCAAGAGAGCAGCTGCAAGCACCTAACGTACCACACCCGCAACCAAAATCAGCCACTAACTTATCGGTAACATCCCCAAAAGAATTCTCCGCCTGCTCCATATTAAAACATGTCATTCATTGATTAAAAATTTAATCCTAAAACCAATCAAAGAGTGATAAATACAGTGTAAATTAGGCATGCGAGCAGCGATGTGGGGTCCCGTCGGATACTGCTCTAGTTCCACCTGCAGTAACAAATATAATAAGAACTGTCAACTGAGAGCCTCACCGGAAGTGTTCGACTCATTCATAAAAGTGGTCAAGTGAGAGAGGAACCTTTGGATTGGAGAACTGTTCAAGGTCACCTAAGGGGCTTTCTAATTGCTTCAGCTTCATCTTTAGCCTTGGAGAATGAGAATCCACTCACAAGATTCTTCTCCTTGAAACCCTATTTTGGGATTTTAAAAGAAGTCTACAGTAGGTATTATTATTTCATTATTGGGGTTGAGAATGGAGAAATTATATTAAACGGTATTATTTTAAGGGTGAAGATGAAAAGTAGCACTTTTTTTACTCATAAAATAACAAATGGTATTTTACAAAAATGTGAAGAATGAAGATGCCCATATTTGTAAATGAACCCTAATCATATTCACTCGTCTTCTTCGAAGCTAGATTAACCCTTATTTCTATTGAAGAATTTGAAAACCAATGTTATAAACCGATTCTTAATTTGATTTTCTGTGTAAGAAACATGTTAATTAGAGTTTTTGATGTAGATGAGTGGTTAATATTAGTTGCTTGAGTTAATTTTTAATTAAGGATGTTTCAAATTGAAGAATTTTGTTGTTTTTTATAAAACATGAAATTGTTATCGGAGAGTAGGGGCATTGGTGGTATTAGTCATTTTTCACTATCCAAGGTTGAAGATGACAAAAAATGTTTGATACCATCCGATAAGGGCGTATTGGATGCTCGATAGGACTAAAGGGGAGCATATAATTTTCACAGAGAGTATTTTGATTATGTCCGAAGGGACTATAGGGGTTTTATAATTTTTATAGGTAAAATTACAATACACCCCTATATGTCCTATAGATGTCCAAATACATCTATTAGACGATAATTATAATCTTATTAGACACTTTTTGTATCTTCAACTTTGGACTGAAAAAATAACCGATACCGCCAATACTCTTAGTTAGGTAGTTCAGATTTTGTCAAAAATATAAAAATCCTTCAATTTTCAACATCTCCATCTAAAAATTAACTCAAACAACCAACATTAACCATCCATTTACATAAATATTCTTCGATTTGGCAGCGATTGTAATTATGGAGAATGGATCTTAAGAGTTTAAGAATAGGTTTTGGTTAAAGGTTTACGAATTTGTAAAGAAGGGCGGAAGGGCTTTTCGTCTGTAAAAATAGTATATAATACTATACTATTTTTATATACTATTTTGCCATATTATGGAAAACTTTTAAACAGGTGCTACTTTTCATCTCCACACCTAAAATAGTGTCATTTAATAATTTATAGGCGTTCTGACACAAAA